CAAAATCATACACAATGATCAGGTGGGATTTATCTTGGTGAGACAGGCAGGAGACAACACTAGGTGTACGATCAATTTAGTTGATATACTCAATGGCTCATGAACACCTGCTCTATTGTTAAGTTTAGACGCTCAGAAGGCATGTGATAGGTTGGGCTGGCCTTATATGTATGAACTATTGACATGAAGGAATACAAGGGCCTTTTTTTAAAGCAATTATGGCATTATTTCATGACCTACCACACAGGTTGCTTCCCTATGCCACATCTGACACTTTTCCCATGCTTAACGAACTAGACAAGGATGTCCTCTGTCTCTGCTCTATATTTGTGTTGTGTCTTGAACCATTGGCAGTGGCGATTAGAGCACACCCTAACATAGCGGGAGTGACTGTGAGGGGGAAGGAGTAAAACTCTAACTTTTTGCAGATGATGTTCTATTGACTATTACTAAACCACACTTGTCATTACCTGCTTTGAACAAACTTTACAAGCTTTTAGTGATCTATCTGGCTATAAAATAAACACTTCAGAGACGGAAGCTATGCCCATTAATATCCCATCTCAAGACGTTTTCATTGCTCCAACAAAATTACTTATACCACTAGTGCTTGTCACCTATTAAATACCTTGGCACTCATATAACCCATCTTATGCTCAGTAGTTTGAGGCTAATTATCCCCCACAGTCTATGCTCTCCTAAATCAGTGGGACACCTATAAGATATCTTTCCTGGGTAGAGTAAATGTGTTAAAGATGTCAATTCTACCAAAGCAACTTAACCTTTTTAAAACTCTCCCAGTATCAATACAGCAAGCTCAACTGCCGACTTTACAACAAGTGTTCCTTAGATTTATTTGACATGTCAGAAAGCCTCGAATAGCGAGAACGGTTCTTCTGACTTCCAAAAACAATGGAGGCTTAGGGGTACCGGATATCACTAAATATTATTTAGCCACTCATTTGAGACAAACACTGTCATGGTTCACCCAAAAATCCCAGAACAGATGGATGGAGATTGAATTAGGGTATATTTATCCGATCCACACATGTTCACTGCTACGCCCTTTTCATTACTCATTACCACTATTCCCCCCCCCCCCCCCCATTCTTGAATCTATGAAATTCACCCTCAAAATATGGTCAACCTGTGTGAAATCCCAGCAGTTCTTGTCCATATGCTCCCCATTGTTGAATTTTTTTGTATAATCCAGAACTCCCAGATAGTCTGTCTTACCCACAGATGAGCTCTTGGGCAATTAGTGGGATATTCCAACTCTGTCATCTGATCAATCCTGTTTCATGCAGCATTCGGCCATTTGAAGAGCTTAGGATGTGGAAATCCACATTACCTGCATCAGCTAGTTATGTCTATTTGCAGTTCCGTCATTATTTCCATACCATGAATTCTTCTCTGACTCTAACCCGCCCTACAGATTTTGAAAAGATAGCAGCTAAAGGTCCCTTCCAACAACATCTTATCACCTCTTTATATAAGCTACTCCTCAATAGCGGTCCCCTTATTGATAACCCCCACCGTTATATGAAGAGATGGGAAAACAAACTTCAATGCCCAATCTCTCTGAAATGTTGGCAGATGATTTGGGACTCTGTTACTAAAACTTCTCATTGTGTTTTGTTTAAAGAAAATGTATATAAAATATTGTGCGTTGGTACAAGACCCCTGTAGTGCTTCACGCGATCAACCCGAATCTTTCAGGCAAGTGCTGGAGGTGCATGGGTGGAGTAGGCACTTTGGCACACATCTATTGGTTTTGTCCACAGATTGTGAGTTATTGGTCTACGGCTAAAATGGTCTTGAAGCAAGTACTTAATGTTAACCTTCCCCTAGACCCGCTACACTATCTTTTGGGGCTACTCTTTAGGGGTATTTCTAAGCAATCTAAGAGGTTGGAAATACATATTCTGATGGCTGCTAGACGGGTGACAACACGACACTAGAAATCAGTTGATGCCCCCACACTAACTCATCTTTTAAGAGCAATCTCTGAAATCAGAGATATGGAATATCTTACTGCCCTAGTGGGTGACTACTCCGGTCATTTTCGATCTATTTGGGAACCATGGGATCATTATTATTATACAGGATTTATATAGTGCCAACAGTTTGCGCAGCGCTTTACAATATAAGGGAGACAGTACAATTACAATACATTTCAGTACAGAAGGAATGTGAGGGCCCTGCTCGTGGAGCTTACAATCTAAAGGAGGGGGAGGTGATACAAAAGGTGATAGCTGCGGGGGATGATCTGGTGGAGGTGATTCAAGTACAGTTCTTAGGTGGAGGTGGGGTAGGCTTCCCTGAAGAAGTGAGTTTTCAGAGATCACCTAAAGGCAGACAGGGTGGGGCTGACTGGACATGCTTTGGAAGGGAGTTCCAGAGGATGGGAGAGGCTCTGGAGAAGTCCTGGAAGTGAGCGTGGGAGGAGGTGATGAGAGAGATAGAGAAGAGGATATCATGGGAGAAGCGGAGTGGGCAATTTGGGCGGTATCTGTGGATGAGGTTGGCGATGTAGCTAGGGGCAGTGTTGTGGATGGCTTTGTAAGCTGTGGTTAGTATTTTGAATTTTATGAGGGGCAGCAGTCGCTGATCGGTTGGTAAGGTGTATGAGTCTAGCAGCAGCATTCATAATAGACTGAAGGGGGGATAACCTGTGTAACGGTAGACCAGTGAGGAGGGAGTTGCAGTAATAGAGGGGGGATATAACCAAGGCATGGATAAGTTGTTTTATGGTGTCATTGGTCAGGAAGGGGCGTATTTTGGAAATGCTCCAGAGGTTGAGGTGGTAGGATTTAGCCAGTGAGTGGATGTGGGGCCAAAAGGAGAGGTCAGAGTCTAGGATTACGCCTAGCACCCTGGCATGAGGGGAAGGACCAATGGTTGTGCTGTTGATCTTAATCGTAAAGTCATCAGTGGGGGACCGGGGAGGAGGAAATATTACAAGCTCAGGTTTTGAAAGATTGAGTTTAAGGTAGTGATGTGCCATCCATGATGATATGTTGCTTAGTAGATTTGTGATACGTGAGGAGATTGAGGGGGTGAGCTGGGTGGCTGAGTGAAGAGATAGATCTGGGCGTCATCAGCATAGAGGTGGTATTGGAAGCCATGGGAGGTTATCAGTTGGCCCAGGGAGGAGGTATAGAGAGAGAAATGGAGGAATCCAAGAACAGAACCTTGGGATACCCCAACAGAAAGAGGAAGCAGAGCGGAGGAGGAGTTGTATGTGACACTGAACGTGTGCTGAGAAAGGTAAGAGGAGAACCAGGAGAGAGCAGAGTCACGGAGGCCGATGGTGTGGAGTTTACTGAGGAGGAGCAGGTGGTCGACTGTGTCAAAGGCAGCGGAAAGGTCAAGGAGTATGAGTATGGAGTAATGGCCATTGGTTTTAGCAGTTAGTAGGTCATTAGTGAGTTTTAGTAGGGCAGTTTCTGTGGAATGTTGTGGGCGGAAGCCAGACTGTCAGGGATCAAGAAGGTTGTTGTCGGTGAGGTAGCAGTTCATACGGATGTGAACAAGGTGCTCGAGAAGCTTGGAGGCAAACGGGAGCAGGGAGATGGGTCTTAGGTTATCAAACAGGTGGGGTCCAGCAAGGGTTTTTTGAGAACAGGGGTAACCGGTGCATGTTTGAGTGGGGAGGGAAAGGTGCCCATGGAGAGTGAGAGGTTGAAGATGTGGGTTAGAGAGTTTAGGATAGAGCAGGAAGTAGGCTGCAACAGTCGCGAGGGGACAGGATCCAGTGGACAGGTGGTGAAGTGGGCCTTGGAAAGGAGTTTGGTAATTTCCTTGGTGGTAACAGGGTCGAAGGAGGAGAGTGTTGAGTTTGGTGTTGGGCCTGGTATGTAGGTTAGAGGAGGAAGCTTGACACTGGAGATCTCATCACGAATTGTGTCGATCTTCTTCTTGAAGTGACTGGCAATCTCCTGTGCAGTAAGTAAGTTGGTGGGTGGAGGCAGTGGGGGGTGGAATAAGGAATTAAGGGCAGAGAAGAGTTGACAAGGATTGGATGAGAGGGTCTTGATGAGATTATTATTGTAGGTTTGCTTAGCAGTGTGGAGGCTGGAGTTGTATTTGAGAAGAGCGGATTTGTAGAGGGTAAAGTCTTTCAGGGATTTTGTTTTACGCCATGCTCGCTCAAGAGTGCGGCTGCGTCTCTTGAGACCTCTGGTGTCATCTGTTTGCCAGGGTTGTGACAAGCGAGGCTTGGTTCTGCGTGTAGAAAGAGGAGCAAGAGCGTCCAGGTAGGATGATAAATAGTTGTTGTAGGCAGATGTAGCCAGCTCTGGGCAGGACAGGGGTGCAATTTCATCATAAAGGCGCTTCTCCCTTTGGTAGAATGTCACCCTCTCCCTCTCTTCCCCCCCCCCCCCCTTATATAGCTCAGATATCTCTTTACTTACCAAGTTTCTGACAATTACTGTAACCCAACAATGTTGTCTTGCGTTTTTGTGATGTACAGTTTACCATGCTGTCTAATTGTGTTCATATTTCTTTTGTTTCTGTTCTCTTTTACATTGATCGTGGATTTTTATTTTAACTGCAACGTTTACACCTAAAGTGTTGTTGTAATCTTGTCCTGAAAAAATGGGCTTTGGCTTTTAATAAAAATTTACAATAAAAAAAAAAACAATTCAAGAGTGCATATTCAGACTGTCACCACTGGTGACTGGTCCTTAGATCACTTGGATTCCACAGCTCTATCTGTTCCCAGAATAATAGCTGAGTCTGTAATACCTTACTTCTAGAATGTTGCCCCTGATGCTCCTATATCATTATATAAACAAGATGTAGGCAGACAGAATTTGAAAGCTTCGAAAGAGAAGGAAATGTTTACCTTCCCTATTCTCATTCTTATCAGCATTACATTGATCACTTGATAGTAATTGACCTTCATCTTAGAATACAAAGCTTTTTGTTGTAACCAAGAATGATAATAGCTAATATACTATGATCATTTTAATAATATTTTTTTTTTTTTGCAGATTTTGGAAAGAATAGATGAGAACCTGGAAAGACTAAGCATGAGCCTGGCCTTATGGGAAGATGTCTTGAGCATAAATGATGAAATTGATGGGTGGTCTACTAGCTCTATTTCACAGATGAATGAGAGTATTACCAACCTGAGCAGCAGTCAGCACCTGAAATCTTGTCTTGCAGAATTTCAGGTTTGTGTTAAACTATAGGTTCCTTGATATACGGTAACTTAATTGTGTCCTAATTAGTTTTTTAGAGGGGGACAAGCAGGGCCGGTGCTTCCACTAGGCAAACTAGGCAACCACCTAGGGCGGAATGCCATCTAGGGGCACCTGGGCCCAGCACAGACCGGCACAGACGCTGCCACATCATGAATGATCCTTCAGCAGAGGGGAAGGACGGCAGAGGGGATGAAGAAAGGACAGAGGAAGATGCCGGTTGTCCAGGGCCAGTGTTACAGCTGAGCTTCCGCTGCTTCCAGTGCTCCTCTCTGACTCAGTGCTTTACTGCAAAGCCGTGTAAAAAATTAAATTCATTAGCTACAGGGCTCTGTACTTATATACTAAGGGGTCCATATACAAAATTATCATTTGGCAGATGTGATAAGCCTTTGCACAATCAGGGTGAAAATTGCCGTACGTCTTCCCTTATGTGTGATTCTGATCTCATCAATGCCATCTATTGGCAAATATATGTTTTTTTCCTGATTGAGTAATTTGTGAAAAAAATGCACTATGGCCACTGGGTGGCACAGACAATATAGGGGTCACACATAATAGAGGATGTACGATCATTTTTGCCCTGATTGTGTGAATGTTTGTCTCATTCACACAGCAAACATTTTATACATAAACCCCCTTACCCTCTGTTCTGGAAGGTATTAAGTGCAGCAGCTTTTAGACCCCAGGGCCCTCTTACATCTGATTTCCAGCTCAAAGGGTCATCAACTGACAAATGAACTAAAGTTAAATAAGGGATACATATAAATCTTTCCTAGTTAGGCTGTCAGAACTAATAAAAGTTTAAAGTGTACCTAAAGGCAAAACATTTCTTATCATTTTGGATAGAGTAAGGGGGGGTTATAACCCCTGTCAGTTTTTTATTTTCCTTCTGTGTCCTATAGAGGAGATTTCCCTTCACTTCCAGTCCCATAGCAAAAACAGGAAGTGAGAAAGGTGTCATTAGAAGTAATGTCACATTAGAAGGTTTCTCCTTTATTACTGTTCTGGTGTCAGCCCAATGTTTGGTATTTTCTTATACTTTCACTTTCAATGATAACCGTAAACAGGACAAATAGAGAGGGCGAATCTCCCTGACAGGTGCATGGGTATGCAATAAAAAATTACAGATGTTCTAATCCCTCTCCAATCTATCAAAAAAAAAGTGTTGGTTTTTGCTACACTTTAGGAATTATTGTTTAGATTCTTGCAAAAGCCTATAATGAGTAGTTCCCTTTAGGAATGTTTGTGTCCCCTTGAGTGCCTTAGCAGTACTGTAGCAGGAATACTTTGTTTCTTTTCTCATTAAACATAAGGACACCAAATTTAACACACTGGAAACATTCTTACTCATCTACGTACTCTAAACTGAGGAATTTTGCTTGGCCTGGAATCAAGGGATTACTGGAAAAAAAAAAAAAAGTAACTTTGCGCTCTTTTTCTTTATGCCATTTTCTTCACTGCAATGATACAGACTGAAGTACCAAACAAGGGACAGAAACTGGAGGAGTTTCATTCCAAGGTTTATGAACTCAAAGAGCTGACCAAGAGCCAGGAGCCCCCTGCAGAACTGCAGGTCAGTATTCCATTCTTTACTGATATTAGAACTATTTTCTAAAACTATATACTGCAGTTTATGTCCTGCTGTGTGACAAGTCCAGCTCTGAAAATAGATGAGACATAATGGTAACAACAATCTTGCTAGTTCAAAATCCTCTGTAGCATCAGATTGTTTGAAGTTATTAATATCTACAGTAAATAGGAAAGGTGGTAAGGTGTTTTTAACAAAACTGAAACATTAATAAAGATACAGTGAAGTCCTTAATATTCACTGAATTTAATTCCCTAGAAAAAAACATGAATCCTGTTTGGTTGTTGGGAACAAAACATTTAAGGGTTTGTAGTGTCAATTTACTCAATTACAACACATATGTTATTTTTCCATATCAACCTCTGTTTTCAGCTATGTGATTGCTATTTTCATCTCTCCTATATTAACGATTGTTAATGCTTAGTGATTTTAGTCCATCTCTGAAGACTCACTGTTGTGAGTGACTAGCAGGTTGCTTACTGTTCTGAGATTTTTTTTTCTATTTTTCTGTACATAGGGCTATGTGTGTAGAGCTCCTGAAATGACTGTTTTAAAACTGGCTGGGCAATATGTGAGGCGGTTTTAAATTTCTCCCTTCTCTCTGGGCTGCCTATTTACCTTAAATTCTTTGTATAATGACACATTGGGCAGTGTGTTTGAACTTTGGGGTCCTTTTTATTTTTGGTAGGTTGGTATGTGTGATGTTGGTGTTTGCTGGCTGGGCAACCACCCAAACACCATTTTAAACTTCTCACCATTTTTGTTTGGCCAGTTCCTTACTGGAAAGTATGTGTTCAGCTTAGGTCTGTGAGTATTCTGGGGGTTGGGGAGCTCCTTTTTTATGGCTGGAAAAGGGATGGTGTTTGCTCTAAGGCTGTGGGTGAATCTTCTAGTCAGGGTCTTATTTGCATCCTTTTGTATCATGTGCAAGGTTGAACTTGGTGCAGGAAAATATGGTGGCGTTGTCACTTACAATTCCCAGGTGAAACTGCCTGCATCGATGGTTATTTCTACCCCATACCTTATCCTCATGTACTCATTCTTCCTTCTCGCTTACATCTGAGGTATTTCCTTCTAATATTAAAGGTTTTAAAACTCAGATAATTCAACTTGTTGCTCCCCTGATCACAAGGGTTTAATACTTCCACTGCCACCATCTTCAGTGGAATCTAATGTAGAGATGCCTAATATTTCTGATTCTGTCAGGAACTCTTTAGAGTATTCATTGTTGGTTGCTGAGTCCCTTCTTTCCTTAAGGGATGAGACCTGTCACGTACCTGGTAGGAGACTGAACTGATGAGGTTGGCCCCTCTGAAGGTGGAAGAGATGGTGCCAAGGGACAGGAGGAACACGCCTGCCTGCAGGTGTTGATAGCAGAACTTGCAGCAGGAGACAGGCTTGAGAAGTCAGACAGGACATCATCCCAGGAGCAGATGTGATGCATGCTGGACCAGTCAAGGCTAAAGGGACATTCTGCATGTACTGCAGGTTCTGGAAGCGTGGCTTGTTGAAGCTCTGGCAAGCTTTAATTATGACAAAAAATTCCAACTTCAAAAAACTCACCATGCCTCTTATGAAATACGTTGGACTGTCTATTTTGCAAAAAGGGGTCATTTGGGGGATATCTGTACTGTTCTCACATTTTTGGGCCGCAAGAAATTAGATTGGCTGTCAGTACTTCAGGACTTATCAATCTTTTAAATAATAAATAATGATTTGGTTATTTTCACCAAAGAAATGTAGCAGAATACATCGTGGCCTAAATTTCTGAAGAACAGTTTTTTATTTGCAAACTTTTATAAGAGAAACAAAGAAAAACGTGTTTTTTTTTCAAACATTTTTGTTAATTTAGCAAAAAATAAAAACCACCAAAAAATACCACCAAAAGAAAGCTCTAGTTGTGTGAACAAAATGATAAAATTTTAGTTTGGGTATAGTGTTGCGTGACCGCGCAATTGTCATTCAAAGTGTGAGAATGCTGAAACCTGAAAATTGGCCTTGGCAGGAAGGGGGTAAAAGTGCCCGGTATTGAAGTGGTCAAGATCAGTCAGCATTGACAGTGAGCAAAAACATCCCTTAAATAGCTCATCTGGCACCAGAAACTGTAGGCACACTTTTGCGTGAATGCACATGTGTGTGCACATTCCTGCATTCATGCGTAAACCTATGCTAATATCTGTTAGTGATACGCCTATGATCATTTCTGTGAGCGATGTTATGTGCATGCGCATATCTGTGCGCCACTCACCTTACTGGAATTTCTTTTACAAGACGCTATCAGCTGAATTTCATGTGGTGGTTGTTTCTTCAAAACAGAAAACAACTGCTTTTTTTTTTCTAATTGAGGATATGTATTCCACTTTAAAATAAGAATATTACACTGTCCCCTTCTGTACCATGATGCCTAGACTATGTTCTCATAGACCTAAATGTTCCACCAAAGTGTTTATTCTTCATCCCCTATTTGATGATTTGATGTACAAAGATTGAAAACACCTAGACAAGCAATTCTTTACTCTTAAATGGTTTCAGGGACCATATTCCTTTGCAGAAGACTTTGTCACAAAATGGGCTGCTTTCTTCATAGTCAACCAACCAGTGCCTCCTTCTGATAATTTCAATAAAAGACGTGCCATTTTTTAAGGACCCCATGAGATTGGAAACAATCTGCTCCTTGGTGTGATCTGCCCTTCAACCTAAGCTCAACTGTCTCCCAGACTTTAGCAGCAAGTCTAAATCACTAAGTAGAGATTCGTCAGCTACTGGTGTTGACACACTCCATACAAATCCCACATCCTAGCAACCTGAGACTGACATTCTTTTAGCCATTCAAGGATTGTTATACAAGAGGGTTATCATTTGTGTTCCTCCAACCAAAATATTTAAAGTTTTATTCAAACCCTTTTGCAGTTTTGGAACCCAAAGGAGCCATTCATTTTAGCTTAGATCTAAAGACTCTCAATGCCTTTGTTCATACTCAAACATTTTGGATGGAAACTAATCAGTCAGTTAATGTCTCCCTTCATCACATTAACTTTTTCTTAGAATCCTCTTTAGCATCCGTTAGCATAAGGGATGCACATTTACTCACTGCCATCTTTCCAGGTCATCAGTTCTTCACTTTGCAATGAGTGACAACCATGCTTTGGATGCTGGTAAAAAACATCAACATTTCCTCTAGACAGACATTTTGATTATGTTCATCCTATTTTATTGTTGTAGGCAGTGCACAAATGGAAAAAAAATTCTAGGAAATAGAGGAACACTTTTTTGGCAAGAGAGACCTCCTATCATTTTTTAAGGCTTAGTTTCCCTTTAATAATGACCTTTGAAAAGCTATGACATACAGATCTTCCCACTGTTATGTTAGTATATAAATAACACTGGTTTGAGGAATATTTCTGAAGCATCATTTACACCAATAGAGGGAAACTCAACACCTAGTCATGTCTATACATATTGTCTTATGTAATAGAATTATAATAACTGCTATTTTTGTTATTGTTGATATTTTTCTTAGTTATTTTAACGGATTACAATTGTGTATTTTTATTTTGATCTAGTTCATGGAAGCAGATTTAAGGCAGAAACTGGAGCATGCCAAAGAAATTTCCCACGTGGCCAAGGGGACATTAAATGACTTCAGTCTTCAGAAAATGCAGCTAGAGACATTCATCGACCAGATGACCAACTGGCTTAATAAAGTTGAAGAATCAGTTTTAAAATATACCAACAGCCAGGAACCTGAGGACCTGAAAAAACTTAAGGTATATCATTTTTTCGGTTAGTTGGCTCATAGCTAACCTACAATGTTTAAAGTATGAAATTTCATTAAATGCATTAGTTTTTTGATGTATGGATACCAACAAAAAGTGGTAAAATGTTGCTTTCAATCTTAACTTTTGGACTATGTTTGCAAAATAGACTGATATTTTGGCCTTCATTCAGTTGTTGATTAAAGTCAACCATTTGATTTGATAATATTTTGCTATTGTAAACATATGTTAAATATGTTATCAGCTCATATGTTTTATTGCATGTGACAAGTGCTTCGAGATGGGAGCCGAAAAAAAAAAAAAAAAAACACCAGCCTGTTGCTAATGTGCTCTGGGCTTTTCCATACCCATGGTACCCTCATGGAGTATTACGTTTTTTGGATACATTTTTAGTGCAGTTTACTGCCCCATTGTGTATGTTGATAAGTTAATTTGTCACCACTGTCAGTAAATTTGTGAAGGGTCTGAATAAAGTAAATGCCAAACACCTGATTTAGCCCAAGAAAAAAAAAATTGCAGACTTTTTAGGTACCCAGTATGTGGAACTAACATTTGTTTAAAAATCACCTTTTGTTAATGTCACTTAAAAAGTAACAAAGTCTGTAACAATAGTTTTATACAGTTGTGTCCAAAATTATTCAACCCCCACTGAAATTGAGTGTTTTGGCCAGTTTGACATTGCTTTTGATCATTCAGTCATCTTGCTTACATTTACATTAAAGAGGGCACTTGTAGGTCAGACAAATATAACATAACAGTTATAATGAAATAACCACAAATGTCTTTTCTGTGCTCACAGCATTATCAGTTTTATTCAACCCCCAAGTGACATTCAATCTTAGTACTTAGTACAGCATCCTTTTACAGTTATAACAGCTTTTAAACGTGAAGCATAGCTTGACACAAGTGTCTTGCAGCGATCTACGGGTATCTTCGCCCATTCTTCATGGGCAAAGGCCTCCAGTTCAGTCACATTCTTAGGCTTGCGCACTGCAACTGCTTTCTTTAAGTCCCACCAGAGGTTCTCAATCGGATTTAAGTCTGGTGACTGCGATGGCCACTCCAAAATGTTCCAGCCTTTCCTCTGCAACCATGCTCTAGTGGACTTGGAGGTATGCTTGGGATCATTGTCCTGTTGAAAGGTCCAACGTCTCCCAAGCCTCAGGTGTGTGACGGACTGCATCACGTTTCCATCCAATATCTCCTGGTACTGAAGAGAATTCATGGTTTTGCACACGCTGAAGCTTCCCTGTACCTGCAGAAGCAAAACAGCCCCCAAAGCATGATTGACCCTCCACCATGCTTCACAGTAGGCAAGGTGTTCTTTTTTCTCATAGGCCTTGTTCTTCCTCCTCCAAACATAGCGTTGATCCATGGGCCCAAACAGTTCTAATTTTGTTTCATCAGTCCACAGAACACTATCCCACAACTTTTGTGTGGTTTGTCCACATGGCTTTTGGCATACTGCAGTCGACTCTTCTTATTCTTTGGAGACAGCAAAACGCCTGGGAGTTCTGGCAAGGCCTTCATTACGCAGTGTGCGTCTTATTGTCTGGGCTGAAACTTCTGTACCCACATCTGACAAATCTTTTCTCAGTTCCTCAGCAGTCACACGGGGACTTCTCTCCACTCTACGCTTCAGGTAGCGCACAGCAGTCGAAGTCAGCATCTTCTTTCTGCCACGACCAGGTAGCGTTTCAACAGTGCCCTTTGCCTTGAATTTGCGAATGATGCTTCCTAAGGTGTCTCTTGGTATGTTTAACATCTTTGCAATCTTCTTATAGCCATTGCCCTTCCTGTGAAGAGAAATCACCTCTTCTCTTGTCTTCCTGGACCATTCTCTTGCCTTCACCATGTTTTAACCACACCAGTAAATGTCTAGAAGGAGCTGAGTATCACAGTCATTTTAAAGCTGCCTAATTGGTGCTTATTATGCTTGATTGCTGCTCGGTGACATCCACAGGTGTTTTCAATACCTTAAAAGCACCTGTATGAACCTCTGTTCTTCAGAGTGGTAGTCTTTAAGGGGTTGAATAATTGTGGCAATGAAGAAACCACATAAGAACCATTTACTACTGTATTACATAAACAATTGATGTCATTTTAGTTGCATTTGGGTAGTTACAATGTAGGATTTGATTCTGAAATACAATTCCAAATGTACACTATAGTCCCTAAACCCCTTTACAGCATTGGGGTTGAATAATTTTGGACACAACTGTACAATGCATTAACATTCAAGCATGTAGGACACCTGATGTCAGATGCGCTTTAATATTCCAAAGCAAACACACCTTTGCAATCTGGTACTGACTCGTATTCTAGGGTTTTTCTCTCTCATTAGGCTAATATGACCCCAGTGCTGATGAAGAGGAGCAGGGAAGGGGAAAGGCTGTACAGGTGCCTGACTTCCTCCTCATCAACTGATGACATCATTGCTTCTTAGGACACTGAAGGCTGGAAGATTGTAATGGTGCACAATGAAAACCTATGGCTTTGTGTAACTAAAAGGCAAGCTTCATCCATCCACTGGCTTGTATACAGTTTTTAGACAATTTTTAGGTATTTTGCCAAGGCACCCCTGAAGAAACCTGAAGGCACCCCAGAATGCCTGGGCACCCTGGTTGACAAAGGCTGATCTAGAGTTAAAATTCAGCAGTAGCCCTCCCAGATGTCATTATGTTGTGACTTTCAAAAGCAGCATTCATTCAAAGCAGCAAACATTTAAAGAAAGTTACTGGGTGCTATAACACATTTCTGAGATGTGTTCACTCCTATACTGAATAGGGGAATCTTACTTATAATATTTGGGTTGTCATTCCACCCACATATTTACATTTTCAGCAAATGCCATAGAGTTAAAGACCTGAATATGTTTTATATCCTTTAAAGAGCACACAAAGTTGTGCTTGAACACCTAAAGCTCCCAAGTGGGCAAGAACTGGGCCAGAGAAAATAGCAGGGAGATTTTGCTGCTGGAATATCAAAGACAAATAAAAAGCCAGGAGCTTACTTAGCCCAACAGTCTCCAACTACTTGTAAAATATTACTGCTGGGTTGCCTGGCTCTGTAACCCTAGAAAGTATGTTTAACTGAAGGCATGACTCAGCACTGGACCAAGAAAGAAGAGTTGTATACATTATCTCTCATTTAGTTTTCTTATTACAATAAAAAAATACATCCTTTAAAATGGGGGCATTTTCACTGAGCACCTAAATCTCCTTTACCCATATATTCATCTTAGAGGATCTCTAGGCCCATTAACACAAGGATCGTATATTGAGAGTAGGACCAAATATTGATACTTTACTGTTGAAGAACCTTCCTGATGAATATCGTCTGGCATTAATATATGCATGTCCGCCAACCTTATAAATGTCTTCCCCAAATGCTTTCTAGCCTATATATCTGGTGGCTACAAAAATGTTCAGTGGCTCTGTTATCCCTGAATCAGTCCAGTTAAGGTCTGATCTTGAACTTGCTAGATTGGTTTGTTTACCTCTACTTGTTATCATATGTTAACATAACTGCAGCCCAGTGTTTAACTGAATGATTACCTCAGACCACTTTGTGTATTAGTACTACTTGAACACTGGAGAAGGGAATACACCCTGAAATCTTGTCCTGAAAATTTGGATGTTAGTGCAAATAAAAAAAACTACTCAGTTGTTTTTGTAACGTGTACTAATACAGCTACAATCACCACAAGCATGTTTCCAGTTTAAAAATATTGTTTTAGACGCAATGCAAAAGTAAACTTTGTTACAAAATAGTAATCCAAAGTATTACAATCCAGGAGATACAGAAGGAGTTTCAGGCCCAGCAAAGCAGCATTGACTCAACACAGGAGAATCTGAATACTCTTTGCCGACGCTACAGATCTGCTGAGCTTGAGGCTGTTGGGACAGCTCTGACTGCGCTGATAAAGAAATATGAAGCCACCAACCAGCTCTGCCTTAAAACGCAAGCTACTTTGCAAGAGACACTGGAAAAACAATTTAATGGTAAGATATTATAGGAACCGTTAAAGGTTACTTAATGGAAATTTCCAAGCAAACAGCTAAATGTATATTTGAATATCATATATGTTTACTGCTTTACCTGTCTAAAGATTTCTAATTCTGTGCAGCCAAATTTGGGATTTCTACACATTTTATGCACTACTCTGCTAGATAGGTGACATATATGACTCCTAATTAATTGATCTATCTTCTTGGTTAAAAAAAAAAATCAAAATATAAACCGAGGGCTAGAAAGGGCAGCATAATCCACTGGATCTACTTTAAACTGACTATATTCAGTGATGCTACTAGTTAATCAGATGTACAAATTATGGGATAATTGTCCAGTTTGGCCAGATGTGGACATTCACACTGAATAAAATTTAATGGTCAACACAGCAGCAGAGACATATTTTTAATTATGTGCTGTTAGACCAGTTTTGCTGTGCCACATCCTGTGACCACAGATAATGTAGTTTCATACACCTAATATGCTTTTTCCATTTGATCATTAGTTTCTTATTTTTTAAAGCTTAACTTTAAAGCAAACAGCTAACACACAAGAGCTATTTTACCTGCCAAATGATTTGTAATTCTGTCTATCCAACTATGAGATTTAAATAGCATTGATCTGCTGTTTCTCTGCTGAAGTTTCACTTTCACCTACAGCTCCTGTCCCCATTCTCACCCTGTGACTAGAGAGTGAAAGGAGAAGCAGCAGAACGATGAGCTCATCACTCTGTCACTCTGCTCCTTGCACAGCTGCAGAACCCTTTGCCTCTGTGTGCTGCTTCTTCTTCCCCAAGTCTGAGCGATATTGTGCAGACTGCAAGAGACTGATCTTGAGTCAAATTGCTTGAACTGCTGACAGTTAGGACCCATTCACACTTGCACATGCTGCAAAACCCTTTGCCTCATGTGTGTGCTGCTTCTTGCGTTTCCCAAGTCTGAGAAGGTGCATTTGTGCAGACATGCTTAGAGACTGATCTTGAAGCAAATTCAGGAGATTTTGTTGAAAGGTGTGTTTTAGCACGGCAGAAGCGCACCAGTTGAACAGGGCCGTAAGTCAAAATACATTTAATTATGTACTGATGATTATAGAGTTGCAGTCATTTGTTCTTTTTGTATACAGTATATGCCTGGAGTTTGACAGTCCATAAATAGGATCGACACCCATTTTTTCACACTGGATTTGAAATGAAACGAACAAGATGTGTGCCTAAAAATTTGAGGGTATTTACATGTCAGGTGTTGTGGAGCTTTCTTAAGGGACCAAAAAATGCTTTTTTAAAAGTGCTTCAATTAAAATTTAGTGCAGCACATATGTGCCTCTACTGCAATGTCTTCAGTTTCCACTTGTTCTTGCATTTTCCTTCAGTTTTGTCTTCAGCAAGTGAAATGCATGCTCATCGGATTCAGGTCCAGGTGATTGACTTGGCCATTGCATAACTCCACTTCTTTCCCTTAAAAAATTGCAGTACATCTGCATGACTCAACAAATGCACCAAAATACGGTGCGTCATCCTCCGCTGACATCATAATGAGAAGGTGCATACATTTTGGTGTGATTTTTGAGCAGTTCCTTTCCTTCTCCATACTCTTCTCTTCCCAACAAGGCTGTCCATGTTGTTCCAGAACATTCTTTTTTAGATGTCATTTGGCAACACAAACTGGCACTTCCTGTTTTTGAGGCTCACCCAATGGTTTACATTTTGTGGTACCCTCTGTATTCACTGTGGTGAACAGTTTCTCTTGGTTGGCACAATTCTGTTGTCAAGGGTGTTTTCTTCACCAGGCAAAGAATTCTTCGGTCATCCACCACATGAACCGAGGTGTGTTTTAGCACGGCCTAATGTTTTTGCTATCTCTCTGAAGCGCACTTGCTTGTGAACAGGGCCGATCTCATCTTGAGAACAGCAACAGATTCCAAATGCAAATAGCACACTTGAAATGAACTCTGGACCTTTTACTGCTCACTGTAATTGGGATAATTATGGAAGAGAAGCCATTGTCCCATTACTTTTGGTCCCTTAACAAGTGGGAGGGTACATATGCAAACTGTTACCGTTCACCTGATTTGATGTAAATACCCTCAAATTAAAGCTGACAGTCTGCAGTTAAAGCACATCTTGTTAATTTCATTTCAAATCCATTGTAGTGGTGTATAGAGCCCAAAAAATTTAGAATTGTGTCGATGTCCCAAAATTTTGGCTTTTATTATAATTAAATGTGACTATTTCACAAGTTGGAGCCTAGATAAGAGATGAATAGTCTACTGTAGACAATATATTTATCCCGCTCCCACAGACGCTGGGCCCCTTAGCACCCTCAGTCGCTGGCCTGCAGCATCCACATGCACTGGCCCACAACACCCACTGACGCCGGGCCCTACTGCGCCTACTAACGCCTAGCCCACTCCACCTCCAGACGCCGGGCCTTCAGCACCTCCACTCATACCAACCCCCAGCTCAACTTGACCTAAAGACTTGAACCCTTGTTGAAAGCCACCACAACGAGAGACCCCTCTGCACCCCAGACTGTCGCCACTCAAGCTCCCCTGGAAACCATCCATCCACACCCGATCCCCTCTCCCTTCTCCCTTAAACTCCAGCCACCAGAAGACACATCGATGAGATAGTCCAGCGGGCAGAGGCGTATCGACAACCAAGCCTCCCGCCACTCCTATCCGCCCTCCTGGGCACCTCCCTAAAATGCTTCTTCCACTCCTCTTTCTCATTTTCCTCTCCTCCGTTCCCAAAATCCATTCACTATATCCCTCTGCTCCTCCCAAACAATTGTATATTGTGTCCTTACTGCTTCCTTCACCTCTCTATGGCACCCACCACCTCCTCCTAATACTCCACTCTCCCACTGACCCGAACACCTCCACTAGTAGTTTCACACACTCCTGCACATCCCGCTCCCATGCCACCTTTCTCACCCTTCTCCTCCTCCTAACCGCATTGGACATCTCCCCGAATCCTGGCCCTCCACCACCTCCCTCACCCACACAACACCCTCCCGCCTCCATATCCTGCCGCACCCCCCGCAACTTAGTATCTGTCCCCCTGCTCCCTAAAATCACCCCCCCATTTTCATGTGCACTCCTGAACGCCCGATTGGTGTGCAACAAGCTTACCGCCATCCACGACCTCTTTGTTTCCCGCTCCCTCAACCTACTAGCGATCACGGAAGCTTGGATCCAGGCCACTGACTCTACCTCCCAGGCTGCACTCTGCTACGCAGGTCTCACTGGACCCACTCACCCAGACCCAACGGTCGTAAAGGTGGTGGGGTTGGTCTGCTCCTGTCACCACAGAGCACCTTCCGAGTCCTCCCAAACCCCCCCTCTCTATCATTCTCCTCCTTCGAGGCCCACTGCGTTTGACTATTCTCCCCAACCCCCCTGAAGATTGCTGTGATATACCGGCCTCCTGGATCCATATCCCGCTTCCTGGATGACTTTTCCTCCTGGCTACCCTTCTTCCTCTCCTCTGAGCTACCCACCATCATCCTTGGGGATTTCAACATCCCTGTCAACCTCGACAACCCGGCCACATCCCATCTCCTCCACTTAACCTCCTCCTTTGCACTTGCACAGTGCATACAATCCACCACCGGTAATATCCTTGATCTCGTCTTCTCCAACCGTTGCGCTCCCCACAACCTCACTAACACCCCCTTCCCTCTCTCTGACCACAACCTGATTACCTTCTCTATCTCCTCGTCCTCCAACGCCTACCCCTCCAAATGTCACACTACTACCAGCCGTAACCTCTGCAACCTTAACCCTGCCCCCCTCCACTCTGCAGCTGATCAACTCCACGACAGCATCCTCCCCCTGTCCTGCCCCAATTTGGCTATGACTGCCTATAACAACGTGCTGTCAATAGCCCTTGACTCACTAGCGCCTTTAACCACACGCAACATCAGACCCCGACCGCTCCAGCCCTGGCAGACTGATCACACCAAAACCCTCAAACGACACAGTCGTGCCCTGGAGCGACTATGGTGCGAAACCAAATCCCAACAAGTCTTCACCCGCTACAAATCTGCCTTCCACACCTACACCTCCTCCCTCCACGCAGCCAAACAAGCCTACTTCCTGACCCTCATCAAGGCCCTCTCCTCCAATCCTCGCCGACTCTTCTCCACCCTCAACTCTCTACTCTCTCCACCCCCACCTCCACCCAGCACCTCACTCACCGCCCTTGAGATTGCCAATCACTTCACAAACAAGCTTGACACAATTCGCAAGGACATCGCCGCAACTCACACTCCCTCTCAACCCGTCCCCTCTCACACAGCTACCCCTTCATCCCCCCTCTCCCTCGACATAACCCGCAGGGACTTCGTCACTGCTCAAACTCCCTCCAACCCCGTTCCCCCTCACTCAGCTACCCCCTCATCACCCCTCTCCCACGGCCCCACCACTGCTCTGACCTCCACTTCCACCCCACCCTACAATCCTCATACTAAAGCCCCCTCAACACTCCGCACCTTTGGCCTTACTACCATCGAGGAAGTCTCCAAGGTCCTCTCTGATGCCCACCTCACCACCTGCCCCTCGACCCTATCCCCTCACAACTCCTACAACCTCCTTCCCCCTCCATCCTATGCTCCCTCACCCACATCTTTAATCTCTCCCTCTCCTCCGGCACTTTCCCCTCCCCTCTTAAGCATGCACACATCACCCCCATACTTAAAAAGCCCTCCCTGGACCCCAATGACCCAAAACAACCTCAGACCCATCTCCCTGCTCCCATTCACATCCAAACTCCTCGAGCGCCTAGTCTACACCCGCCTAAGCTCTCACCTCAACGACAGCAACCTCCTCGATCCCCTACAGTCCGGCTTCCGTCCCCTACACTCCACCGAAACTGTCAGGGCTCGGGTATGACCAGAGGTATGTGAACTGACGCAGGGAAACACAGGCTTCAGATATGTTATAATAATAATATTTATTATCAGCTGCACAAATAAACAAACACAATGCAAGCAAGCTAACCTTAAGCTAATAGGTACACAGAGCAAACAAACAAACCAATAGGTACACAATGCAGTCAGGGCTGGAGAGGTGGAATGGTCAGGCAGGCCAAGCCCACAGCACGGATTTCCTCAGGGCGCGGGGTCTAAGTCCCAGCCTGCTATTCACCAGGGCCCCTGATGGTGGGGATGGACTTGGTGCAGACTGGAACCAGGTCGCGACCCCTGAGTGCGTCCGGCTGTGGTAGAGAGTGCTGGCAGGTCCAGGTCCGAGCGGGATGGGATGGATGGATGACAGTCAGGAGCGATGTGGTCAGACTAGCCGGGTCAGTAACGGTGGGGACAGGCACAGTACAAGCAGCAGACAAGGGTAGTCAGGTCACACGCCAGGTTCAGTAACTTACGGGCAGCATGGTACAGAGGATCAGGCAGAAGGATGGTCAGGGACGAGCCGGGGGTCAGAGCAGGAGAATGTCAGCATGGATCAGAACAGGCAGGGTCGGCAACAAGGAACACACTACAGGAACACAGGAATCAGGAACAGGAACACAGGTTTACAAGGTACAGGGGCCCATGGAAAACACACACCAAGGCGCAGACTGCAGGTCTGGCCATCCCTTAAATACACCTGCATAATCAGCTTCAGGTGTTTGGCTGGCTGCAGGGTTGAGTCTCTGATTGCTGGGAGCACCCGCTGGCCAGCCCTGGTACTGCAGCCCACAAGGCAGGTGAGTCCCACCATTACTGGCAAGTCCATTCCTGACAGAAACTGCCTTACTCAAACTCTCCAACGACCTGCAAACCGCCAAAGCTAATGGCCACTATTCAGTGCTCCTACTTCTTGACCTCTCTGCGGCCTTCGACACAGTCGACCACCCCCTCCTCCTCAAAAAACTAAACTCCCTCAGCCTCAGAGATTCTGCTCTCTCCTGGCTCTCATCCTACCTGTCACTACGCTCTTTCAGCGTTACCTATAATGCTACCACCTCCCCCCCTCACTCCCCCTCTCTGTTGGGGTCCCTCAAGGCTCTGTCCTTCGGCCCCTTCTCTTCTCCATCTACACCTCCTCCTTCACCAACTCATACACTCTCATGGCTTCAACTATCACCTCTATGCCAACGACACGCAAATCTATCTCTCGACCCCTCGCCTCACCCCCTCAGTCTCCGCCCGAATCACAAGCCTACTGAACGACATATCAGACTGGATGTCGCTCCAGTTCCTTAAACTGAACCTCTCCAAAACCAAACTCCTCGTCTTCCCCCCAGCCCGGACCCCACCCCCCATTGACTTCTCCATCATGTCCAACAACGCCACCATCAAACCCGCCCCGCAGACCAGAGTACTTGGTGTCATTCTGGACTCCAACCTATCCTTCCAGCCCCAAGTCCAATCTTTAACAAACTCATGCAGACTCCACCTTTCGCAACATCGCCAAAATCCGCACGTTCCTAACCCCAGAAACCACTAAACAGCTCATCTACTCCCTCATCATATCACAACTTGATTACTGCAACTCCCTCCTTACTGGCCTGCCTCGCCGCTGGCTATCCCCGCTTCAGTTGATCCTGAATACGGCTGCCAGACTCATTCACCTTTCCAACCGCGCCGTTTCCGCCACCCCCCTCTGCCAATCCCTCCACTGGCTTCCGATTGCACAATGGATCAAATTCAAAATCCTAACACTGACGTACAAAGCCGTCCACCATACTGCCCCGAACTACATCACCGACCTAATATCCAAGTACCACCCAGCACGCACACTCCGCTCCTCACAAGACCTCCTTCTCTCTAGTTCCCTGGTCTCTTCCTCCCATGCCCGCCTGCAGGACTTCTCCAGGGCGTCACCCATCCTCTGGAACTCCCTGCCCCAACCCATCAGATTATCACCTACTCTCCTCTCCTTTAGGCGCACCCTGAAAACCCACCTCTTCAGGGAAGCCTACCCCACCCCCTGCTAACTTGCCGACCTCCTCTATTCTTCCTACAACTCCATCCCCCACAGCTTTCTCCTCCTGTGCTACCATCCCCTCCCTCCTAGATTGTCAGCTCGACAGAGCAGGGCCCTCGATCCTCTCATGTTTTGCATTGTATTGTTATTGTTCTGTCACATGTTCTGTCCCCCTTTGTAATGTACAGCGCTGAGCGAACTATTGGCGCTTTATAAATACTGTATAATAATATTATTTGATTATTTTCTACAATGCATAGCCATATAGTGAGCCCATGCATAGCCATATAGTTGGCCCAATATTGCCAACAAGGAGCCAGTAATCTATTCTTTCCAAACCAGCTCAAATTTAATAATAAAGGTTAATGTAGGAACACAAAAGTACTCTTCAGTGTAATTCCTAATTGCTTTTCAAATCAAAATAATATATGTTTAATGGTTTTTGTTAATATAGATGCTATGTATGAATTTGAGGAGTGGTTTGAAAAAGTAAAAAGAGGTATTCAAGGCTCATCAGACTGGTCTGGAGACAGCAAAACTTTGGAAGCCAAAATACAGCATTTACAGGTGAACATGTGGGCACATGTACTCTTTTTTGTTGTTTTGAGTTTTTACATATGTTTGTGATATTTTGTAAAGACTTGCACATATTGAATTCTGATTTTGAAATTGAGGCTATGTTCAGACATGTGCAGTGCAAATTTGTTCAGTTCTCTAGTGTGATTCAGTAACGAGTTGGGGTGTGATTTACCCGCGGTTCTGCTTGAATACCAATGCATTTTTCATGCAATTTTGGTATAGCTGTGATTTGGGATGTCTCTTTTTCAACACAAAACTATTCCCGCTGCAGTTTCAATTCTACTCAATAGAGCTAAAAAACAGATCACAGCACTCCAAACACATGCAGGACCCTTTTTCAAATCGCACTGTGGCTGTACTGCATATATGTGAAAGCCATCCATAGGAAAGCTTTTTTTTTTTCCACTGGCATGCGAATCACTGTACTTCAAAACACATCCGAAAATAGATTAGTGTGAACCAGGGCTAAAAATTAATTTCTTAAAAATAGAGGAAGGCAACATTTCAGTGCCACCTATTGCAGCCAATGACATCTGAAACCTATGGGCAGTTTAATTAAAGTATATGTAAACCTTCATGTTAAAAAACAATGCATTCAGCTTAAAATAGAAAAGAAAGGCGTAACATTTGTGTATAGATATACACTGCTCAAAACACATAAAGGAACACTTTGAAAACACATCAGATCTCAATGGGAAAATAGATCATGCTGGATATCTATACTGATATGGACTAGGCAATGTGTTAGGAATGTAAAGATGCCCCATCGTTTGATGGGAATGAAAATTATCAACCTACAGAGGACTGAATTCAAAGACACCCTGAAAATCAAAGTAAAAAAATTATGCAGCAGGCTAGTCCATTTTGCTGAAATTTAATTGCAGCAACTCAGAATGGTACTCAGTAGTTTGTATGGCCCCCACATGCTTGTATGCGTGTCTGACAACATCAGGGCATGCTCCTAATGAGACAATGGATGGTGTCCTGGGGTATTTCCTCCCAGATGTAGACCAGGGCATCATTGAGCTCCTGGACAGTCTGAGGTGCAACCTGGCGGCATCGGATGGACCAAAACATGATATCCCAGAGGTGTTCTATTGGATTTAGGTCAGGTGAGCATGTGGGCCATTCAATGGTATCAATTCCTTCATCCTCCAGGAACTGTCTGCATACTCTCACCACATGAGGCATGGCATTGTCGTGCACCAGGAGGAACCCAGGACCCACTGCACCAGCATTGGGTCTGACAATGGGTCCAAGGATTTCATCTCTATACCTAATGGCAGTCAGGATGCCATTGTCTAGCCTGTAGAGGTCTGTGTGTCCCTCCAAGGAAATGCTTTCCCAGACCATCACTGACACACCACCAATGATTGATCATGCTGAACGATGTTACAAGAAGCAAAAAATTCTCCACAGCTTCTCCAGACCCCTTTATGTCTTTCATATGTGCTCAGGGTGAATCTGCTCTCATATGTAAAACGCACAGGGCGCCAGTGGCGGGCCTCCCAATTCTAGTGTTCAGTGGCAAATGCCAATCGAGCTCTGTGGTGCCGGGCAGTGAGCACAGGGCCCACTAGAAGATGTTGGGCCCTCAGGCCTCCCTCATGAAGTCTGTTTCTGATTGTTTGGTCAGAAACATTCACACCATTGGCCTACTGGAGGTCATTTTGCAGGGCTCTGGCAGTGCTCATCCTGTTCCTCCTTGCGCAAAGGAGCAGATGCCGGTCCTGCTGATGGGTTAAGAACCATCTACACCCCTGTCCAACTCTCCTAGAGTAACTACTTGTCTCCCGAAATCTCCTCCATGCTCTTGAGACTGTTCTGGGAGACACAACAAACCTTCTGGCAATAGCACATATTGATGTGCCATCCTGGAGGAGTTGGACTGCTTGTGCAACCTCTAGGGTCCAGGTATCGCCTCATGTTACCAGTAGTGACACTGACCCTAGCCAAATGCAAAACTAGTGAAAAACTGTCAGAAAAGATGAGTAGGGAAAAAATTGTTAGTGGCCTCCACCTGAAAGACCATTCCTGTTTTGGGGGTCATCTCATTGTTGCTCTTCTAGTACACCTGTTGTTAATTTCATTAACACCAAAGCAGCTGAAACTGATTAACAAACCCCTCTGCTTAACTGACCAGATCAATATCCCAGGAGTTTAATTGAATTGATGCTATACTCTGATTAAAAAGTGTTCCTTTAATTTTTTTTGGAGCAGTGTATAAAAAAAAAAGGATAAACACTTTTTCCCCCTTTTTTATAAGTGATCACATTTCCTCTGTTCTCAGCTGCATAAGAGCGGAGGGAAGAGAAACAGCAGTACACTGATCTTCCCACTGAAAGGCTGTGCATGGGGGGGGGGTGTCAGGACAAGTCTGATCATTGGAGGATGAACACACTGAATTCCAGCATAGCTAGAGAACTGAGCATGCAGTGCTCTCCTGCCTGGAGTGGTCAGTTTTTAATAGGATAGCAGAGGGACTGGCAGGAAACACCTGGGATTTCACATATAGGAAGCAATACAAAAAGAACAGGATACTTTTTCATACAAGTACATGGTACAGCAGGGACATATCAGGAATGTGAAATGTTGGATTTACATACTCTTTGAGTACTTTGGCAGTAGTATTCCACTTCCATATTATGCACACTGTGCTGCATATTACTAACTTCAGGGTGCTGCACACTGCTCTCTACATTACATATTCTGGCCCACTACACTCTGTACAAAGTGGTGTATGTTACATATCCCTGCCCCACTGCAGTCTGTATGCTGATCTGTACTAAATTCCCTAGATCATAGCATCTGTACACTATCCTATAAACACATGCTGCAAACTGCTGCACTTTGTATACTGTGCTATATATAGACTTGCATTTGAGAAACAGCAGCAGTAAAGCAGAGAGCAGAGCTTCTAGCAAACGTTGCTGCCTCTAAGCACATATATTACAGACTATACATGGAAACAAAGTTTTTAAAACATAATGAACACACACTTTGATAAAATGGATTACATCAAATTGATCCCTTTTGTGTCACACTGGCGGCAGGCTTATCACCCCCATGAAAAGACAGGTGGTTTAAAATTGTGCCAGCGGTCAAGAGGGATTTTTTTTGTTTTTTAACCCCTTCCCACTTGCCCTGAGATCTTTCATTTTTTGGTATGGCGCTGTGTTACTTTAACTGACAATTGTGCGGTCATACAATGGATCTTTCTTTTGGTAGTATTTGATTACCTGTGCGTTTTTTATGTTTTGCGCTATAAACAAAAAAAAAAAACGACAATTTTGAAAAAAAAAAAAATAACAATATTTTTAACTTTTTGCTAAAAAACATATCCAGTAAAAAAAATTTAAAAAATCAATTTTCGTCATCAATTTAGGCCAATTCTGCTGCATGTCTTTGCTAAAAACAATCCCAATACATGTAAATTAATTGGTTTACATGAAATTTATAGCATCTACAAATGGCAGTATATATACTGGAATTTTTATTTTTACTTTTTTTATACTAGTAATGGCGGCGATCAGCGACTTATAGCGGGACTGATGAGGTGGGCATTCTGACACTGGGTGGGAACTGACTAACTGCCACTAACATGCCCAATGACAGTAATACAGTGATCAGTGCTAATAAAAATCACTGACACTGTACTAATGACACTGGGCAGGAAGGGGTTAACATCTGGGGCGATCAAAGGGTTAATTGTGTGCTGTGTTGATGAATTTGCACAGACATACCATCAAGGAACATAAAGAAGATGACTTTTGCACACCTGTGGGACACCATTTCGCACAACCAGACCACATTATGGAAGACCTCAATATTTTAGTTCTTAAAGGAAATTTCAAAACTATTCAGGAAAGGAAAAATTTTGAACTAAGATGATAATTCTATTTTATACAAGAGATAACGGCCTTAATTTGTAAATGGGATTCCTCACTCATTATCCAAGAGTTTTATGACCCCTCTGTGAGTGTTGACCCCCCCCCCCCCCCCAGTCTTTGCTTTTGCTTCACGTCAGTACTCAATTGTTTCTGTCGCAAGTGCACTAATATGGCTACAATCACCTCAAGCATTTCTTCTCCTCGAGAATCTCCCTGTTAGTTTTTTTTTTTCTGTAGACCAGTGGATACCCAAATTTATCATGTGTTTTTTATTGATATGGACTGGGCAATGTGTTAAGAACGTAAAGATGCCCCATCGTTTGACGAGAATGAAAATTATCAACCTACAGAGGACTGAATTCAAAGACACCCTGCAAATCAAAGTAAAAAAATAATGCAGCAGGCTAGTCCATTTTGCTGCAATTTAATTGTAGCAACTCCAAAATGGATTCAGTAGTTTGTATGGCCCCCACATGCTTGTATGCGTGTCTGACATCATCAGGGCATGCTCCTAATGAGACAACGGATGGTGTCCTGGGGTATTTCCTCCCAGATGTAGACCAGGGTATCATTGAGCTCCTGGACAGTCTGAGGTGCAACCTTGGCGGCATCGGATGGACCAAAACATGATATCCCAGAGGTGTTCTAATGGATTTAGGTCAGGTGAGCATGGGGGCCATTCAATGGTATCAATTCCTTCATCCTCCAGGAACTGTCTGCATACTCTCACCACATGAGGCATGGCATTGTCGTGCAGCAGGAGGGAAACCAGGACCCACTGCAACAGTGTAGGGTCTGACAATGGGTCCAAGGATTTCATCTCTATACCTAATGGCAGTCAGGATGCCATTGTCTAGCCTGTAGAGGTCTGTGCGTTCCTTCCAAGGATATGCCTCCCCAGACCATCACTGACACACCACCAATGATTGGTCATGCTGAACGATGTTACAGGAAGCAAAAATATTCTCCACAGCTTCTCCAGACCCCTTCATGTCTTTCATATGTGCTCAGGGTGAACCTGCTCTCATCTGTAAAACGCACAGGGCGCCAGTGGCGGACCTCTCCCCAATTCTAGTGTTCAGTGGCAAATGCCAATCGAGCTTTGTGGTGCCGGGCAGTGAGCACAGGGCCCACTAGAGGATGTTTGGGCCCTCAGGCCTCCCTCATGAAATCTGTTTCTGATGTGTTGGTCAGAAACATTCACACCAGTGGCCTGCTGGAGATCTCATTTGTTGGGCTCTGGCAGTGCTCATCCTGTTCTTCCTTGCACAAAGGAGCAGATGCCGGTCCTGCTGATAGGTTAAGAACCTTCTACGGCCCTGTCCAGCTCTCCTAGAGTAACTAACCTGTCTCCTGGAATCTCCTCCATGCTCTTGAGACTGTTCTGGGAGAGACAGCAAACCTTCTGGGCAATAGCACATATTGATGTGCCATCCTGGAGGAGTTTGGACTGCCTGTGCAACCTCTAGGTCCAGGTATCGCCTCATGTTACCAGTAGTGACACTGACCCTAGCCAAATGCAAAACTAGTGAAAAACTGTCAGAAAAGACGAGTAGGGAAAAAATTGTTAGTGGCCTCCACCTGAAAAAAACCATTCCTGTTTTGGGGTCATCTCATTGTTGCCCATCTAGTACACCTGTTGTTAATTTCATTAACACCAAAGCAGCTGAAACTGATTAACAACCCCCTCTGCTACTTAACTGAGCAGATCACTATCCCAGGAGTTTAATTGACTTGATGCTATACTCTGATTAAAAGTGTTCCTTTAATTTTTTTTGGAGCAGTGTATAAAAAAAAAAAGGATAAACACTTTTTCCCCCTTTTTTATAAGTGATCACATTTCCTCTGTTCTCAGCTGCATAAGAGCAGAGGGAAGAGAAACAGCAGCACACTGATCTTCCCACTGAAAGGCTGTGCATGGGGGGGGGGGGGGTGTCAGGACAAGTCTGATCATTGGAGGATGAACACACTGAATTCCAGCATAGCTAGAGAACTGAGCATGCTGTGCTCTCCTGTCTGGAGTGGTCCAGTTTTTAATAGGATAGCAGAGGGACTGGCAGGAACACCTTGGATTTCACACATAGGAAGCAATACAAAAAGAACAGGATACTTTTTCATACAAGTACATGGTACAGCAGGGACATTTGCAGGAATGTGAAATGTTGGGTTTACATACTCTTTGAGTACTTTGGCAGTAGTATTCCACTTCCATATTATGCTGCATATTACTAACTTCAGGGTGCTGCACACTGCTCTCTACATTACATATTCTTGCCTACTACACTCTGTACAAAGTGGTGTATGTTACATATCCCTGCCCCACTGCAGTCTGTATGATGATCTGTACTAAATTCCCTAGATCATAGCATCTGTACACTATCCTATGAACACATGCTGCAAACTGCTGCACTTTGTATACTGTGCTATATATAGACTTGCATTTGAGAAACAGCAGCAGTAAAGCAGAGAGCAGAGCTTCTAGCAAACATTGCTGCCTCTAAGCACATATATTACAGACTATACATGGAAACAAAGTTTTTAAAACATGATGAACACACTTTGATAAAATGATTACATCAAATTGATCCCTTATAGGCCTCTTTCACACTGGCGGCAGGCTCTACCACCCCCATGAAAAGCATTTTCATAGTGGATCCGCTTTTTCAGAGGTGGTTTAAAAGTGCTCAGGAGAAGTTTGCTGCCAGCTTTCAAATGCCTGTTTATTTCTCAAGAGGGATTTTTTTGTTTTTTAAACCCCTTCCCACTTGCCCTCCAGAGAATTTACCCCCCTTCCTGACCAGGCCATTTTTTGTGATATGGCGCTGTGTTACTTTAACTGACAATTGTGCGTTCATACAATGGATCTTTATTTTGGTAGTATTTGATCACCTGTGCGTTTTTTATGTTTTTGCGCTATAAACAAAAAAAAACGACAATTTTGAAAAAAAAAAAAAAAAAACAATATTTTTGACTTTTTGCTATAAAACATATCCAGTAAAAAAATTTTAAAAATCCATTTTCGTCATCAATTTAGGCCAATTCTGCTGCATGTCTTTGCTAAAAACAATCCCAATACATGTAAATTAATTGGTTTACATGAAATTTATAGCATCTACAAATGGCAGTATATATACTGGAATTTTTATTTTTACTTTTTTTTTTCTAGTAATGGCGGTGATCAGCGACTTATAGCGGGACTGAGGCGGGCATTCTGACACTGGGTGGGAACTGACTAACTGCCACTGACATGCCCAATGACAGTAATACAGTGATCAGTGCTAATAAAAATCACTGACACTGTACTAATGACACTGGGCAGGAAGGGGGTTAACATCTGGGGTGATCAAAGGGTTAATTGTGTGCTGTGTTGATGAATTTGCACAGACATACCATCAAGGAACATAAAGAAGATGACTTTTGCACACCTGTGGGACACCATTTCGCACAACCAGACCACATTATGGAAGACCTCAATATTTTAGTTCTTAAAGGAAATTTCAAAACTATTCAGGAAAGGAAAACTTTTTGAAAAATTTTGAACTAAGAGATGATAATTCTATTTTATACAAGAGATAACGGCCTAATTTGCAAATGGGATTCCTCACTCATTATCCAAGAGTTTTATGACCCCCTCTGTGAGTGTTGCCCCCCCCCCCCCCCAGTCTTTGCTTTTGCTGCGGTTTACCTCTAGTCTAATCCTAGTCTTATAACCATTGCTGTGTACATTTTTTTGTGTGTGTTTCTTTCTGTTTTTTTTTTTTTTTTTTTTCTTCCCCCCTTTCAACATCTCTGCTAACATTCTGCTAAAACTTTGTGTAATAGTACATCCTGGACCTTGAAGAAAGGGACATACCCCGAAAGCTTGTCCTCAAAAATTGTATGTTAGTGCAAATAAAAAAAGTATCACGTCAGTACTCAATTGTTTCTGTTGCAAGTGCACTAATATGGCTACAATCACCTCAAGCATTTCTTCTCCTCGAGAATCTCCCTGTTAGTTTTTTTTCTGTAGACCAGTGGATACCCAAATTTATCATGTGTTTTTGCTAATTCCCAACAAATGTGCACAATTTATTTTCTTTATATTTAACACAGGATGTATTAGACTCAGTCAGTGAAGGCCAAAGTAAATTGGATAAGGCAACAGACGAAGGAGAGAAACTTTATTACTGTTTGCCAAAGCCACTTGTGCTCAATATTCAGGAGAAAATATCAAAAGCAGAAAAGGAGTTCCAGGGTTTCAAGAAGCAGTGTCTGAAAGACAAGCAGGCTTTAGAGGACTGTGTTTCTGAGCTTGGAAGGTGAGTTTTTGCACACAGGTATTCCAAACACATTATTCCCCTGCTTTCAAGCTGTTTACTCCATGTGGAGAGTTCAATACTTGTTCTGTTATAAATATGTGAAGTCACTGTTTTCCCTGAGTCCATCCAAGGTTTTTCCTGGGTTGAGCTCTGATGATGATAGGGGAGTAGTTCTGCCCCTAAATCGCATTAGACTCCTTCCACAGCCTTGCTGTGTGAGAGCAGCTCAGCAGAGCAATTTAGCTTGTTTAAAATTTTTCTTCATCTGACTATCTGAATGTTGTTCTGGAGTGGATTGCATGGCAATCAATCTGCTTTTAGCCTTCATTTTCAAATGAAGGCTACAATTTTAGACTTACTAGTTTTAGTAAATCAACTCCACTGTATATAAATAGAGGTTGGGTACAGTATGGCATTAAAGAGCCTGTGGAAAGCATATGTAAATGTCTATTTATATAATGAATATGGGTTCAATTGTGGCCTTTACTGCTACATAAAGCAAAACCTATTTGACTGCCTTAATGAGTAAAGGAGGTCTGAGCCCTTAGCATAGGTGCCTACACACATTGCATCTGGAATTCACAAAATCCAGAGAGCTTCCTCTTGATTTTTTGGTAATAAACATGGAACCAAAGTAGTGCATTCAACTGGAGCAAAACTGCTGCTTTCACCCATAGTAACTAGATTCTCTAGTTGAAGAATACACATGATTGGGTAATGTGAGTAAAGTTTTGGTTTTTTTTAACTCCACTACTCATCTACTAGCAGTCTGTTTTGGCTGACAATTCACTTCAGTAAGGCAAACTACTATAATATGAAGCAACAAATCAGATTGTAGGTTCTACACTTTGCTCAATTCTCTTTGCCTGGAAAGAGTATGCAAATAGTTATAGCAATCAAATACATGGATGGTGGTAAATGAAGACCAAAAACATGAATTAATTGCAAAGACCTAATCTTTCTACTAAATATCTGACTGTAACACACCCAATGTATGATTTCAGCTTTGAGGATCAATATAAAAAGTTAAGCCTGTGGATTCATGAACTGGAGGAACGGATTAGGACAGAGACACTTGGAGAGAGCAAGCAGCACATTCCAGAAAAGAAAAGTGAGATGCATAAAGTGGAAATGTTCTTGGAGGAGTTGCTGGCTGCCCGGTAAATATGAGTAAAGATTTTAGAAATGTAACTAGGACCAATAAATTCTGCAGCACTACTGAGTATATACAGTATATCACATCAGTACCCGTCCCAGAAACAGTTTTCTAAATATATATACCCTGTCAGAATTGTACATATACAAACCAGGGCTTACGTCAGCAGAAGGCGATTACCCTGTTTTTGGCTTGTGAAAGGAAACCCAAAACAGCGTTAGGAATTTTCTTGCTAGGGAACTGAATCCAGGAACTCATGTAATGTAGATTATGCTTTTTAAATTTATTTAAAATTTTAAAGCAGGCATGTGTATGTGTGAAAATAAAGCTGATCAGTAGTACATTTATACATTTAGAAAATGTATTTGCTTAAGCAGATGAACAAAAAATAAACTAAGTTGTACAAATGGTTTGTATGTTATACCCTTTTAATGCTGTCACATGGGTCAGTGACTGTACTTGAAACTTGTGAGCATTTCCTTTGGCTCCCATTGAATGAAGATGCAGAGAATGGGCAAAGGGGTAGAAGGGAGGAGGGGGAGTTAAAGCACTGAATGTTTGTTTAGACAAACTAAAGTTCAAGGTCTGGAGTTATTTAATTTTAAAGCAATTGTAAACCAAATGTTTGATATGTGTACTAGTGAGCGGCTCAATTTAATTTGTTTGTGTCCCAAAATGATGCCCTCTTATATAATGGTTATTATATAATCACCTCAGTACCGGCATGCTCCCCCTACCCCTTTCTCCAATCGATACCAGTCCAGTTTTCACTTTTCAATGCTGTGATGCTTTGACTGACAACTATTTGGTCATGCAACACTGTACCCAAATGAAGTTTGTATCCTTTTTATTTTTCAGACAAAGCTCTCTTTGAGTGGTATTTAGGTACTACACTGGGGTTATTATTTTTTACTCTATATAAAGTTAAAAAAACAATCAAAACATTTTGAAAAAAAAAATCCTTCATGTTTTGAAAGATAGCAAATAAAACTGCCAGGACAGAGTGAAGACTCTCAAAATGACCCTTTGTAAAAGAGACACCACAAGGTGATCTGATTTTTTTGCCACATTTTTTGGAAACACACTTGGTAATGGTGCACTAGGCACATTGATGGGATCAGGTAGTGAAGGGGTTAATGTACAGGTTATTATCAAAGAGAAGAAAAGGCGCTGCTCACCAACCCAGTGGCCTCAACCATCGCAGATTCAGCCATGCCCCCCCCCCCAACATGTTTTGCCCTGCTCACTGGGGCTTGGTCACAGAGCCACCTCTGGCAAAAGTCACATTAATCTACATACTAATGCACTGGGTTGGTAAGCATTGCCTTTTCTTCTCTTTGGTAATCCTTACACCTCTGAATGGTGCACTGATACCAGCTCTTGTCACTGCAACCAGTGAGAGAAGATGGAGATGAAAGGCTTAATGTACAGGTGTTCAGAATAAGGTTGGTAAGAGGTTGATATACAAGCCAGATCAGAGACAGGATGGGGCTGATATACTGTATACAAGAGAGGGGTGATTGATAGTGAGGAGGGGGTTGTTATTATACTGTTGGCACTGTACTGGAATAAAAAAAGGTAAACATATGTTTATTTTGTGTTGTCTGAAATTACTAACTGTAATGTTTTAGATTGTTTTACAATTATACTATCCCGTGAATATGAGTGGAAATTTGAGACAAAAGTACAATGTACTGACAACAATTCAGATCTATCAAGCCCCATTCCTGAAGTGTGGTACTTTTTTGTGTTGAACCTGGAGGGCCATATGTCATGTGAACCTAAACTGTTTCACACACCCTATGCTACAATCTTGCAACATTTAGTGGGTTCTCAGTGTAGGATTATCCAAAACTTAGGCTCAGGTTCTGAAAACATTGATTAGATTTCATCTATTGGTCTCAATGCTCATTTTAGGAGGCCTTCCAACTCATCCCTTGGAGTTTACTACATTCTGACTCCACACATAGGGCTCAAAATCAGAGAGCCACAAAAATGACTTCTCACTTTTGTGTGGCTGCTAAACATCTTGGCCTAGCTTACAATTCACAAGTACTCACTTCACTTCGCACATCATAGATTCTTTGATACTGAGGAACTTTTACTGAGGTTTTCTCAAATGCAGAATAGCAGGAACAGGATGCAGAATAACAGAAACTCACTGTAACAATGACAGTAACTGCTAGCTGATTCATCTGGAGCTATTGGGCAGTCCTTTTCCATGCATCTCAAGGTGCAGAAAGTCCCTAGTGGGAACACAGTCCTTGCTGTGTATTCCTTTCAGGACAGAAAACCTCAATTAACATTCACATGGAAAGGCCAATTATCTCACTCCACACAGAGAAGGGGCCTCTTCATGTGACAGACTGAGCTTTACCACTTAGCATTTGCTACCTTAGCATTTCCCCTGAGTAGAGGAAGATTTCCACCAACTATAGAACAGAACCTCTGTTGTTATACTGCAGTGGGGTGAATGATGCCACATTTTGTAAACATCGCATACAACTTTACAGACATTGTTTGTACCTAAAAGTGAACCTGTCTAGGCTACAATTTTAATTCAGAAAATACTAATTGTCTGGGATGCCAAGCTGACCCTCTTCCTCTGTTGCTTGAGATACTAGCAAAGCAATTATGAAGATAGAAACCTCTAACTTTTGTCAGGAAGGTCATATTCCTGACAAGTTTACTAGAAGAATTGTTACATTAATGGAACTGAATATGTGAGGATTATATTAGTAGTCTTGCCTTAAACCCTGTGTTGTAGAGATTCATTTGAGAAACTTTGCCAGCGAGCTCAGGCCCTCCATGAAGATGGCCGTGGTGATGGGCAAGAAGTTCGTCAATCAAACCAGCTTCACACAACCTATCAGAATTTGGTGAAAGTAATCAAGGAGAAGCTTCGTGTCTGCCAGGTGGCTGTACAAGAACATCAAATTTTTGAAGAAGCATTGCAAACCACATGGTTATGGCTGAAAGATATCCAAGACAAGCTCTCTACCACAGAGAGTACAGTGGGAAGCAAAAGCACGCTTGAAAAACGTCAACAGCAAGTTCAGGTAAGTGTCTTCCCTTAACCACAGCTCCTTTGGCCACATACTAAGCGTTCCACATTACTAAATACACACATTTAGCAGAATCAAGAACCTTTATATTCAAAAAGTAAGTTATTCTATGCTGAGTGAGTGTAAGGAAGGGGTAACCTCAGTTACCCCACATAACTGCACCCCCCAGGTATTCAGAAACTTGCCATGTTCACTTATGTATGAAGTGAATGTGTATTGACTTTAAGCATCCAGCCATGTGGAGAAAAAGTTTCTACTTCTTGAATTCCCCATTCATGATTGGATGTTTGAAGAGTACACAGGCTCCTTTCACTTTAAAATCATAGCATGGCCTATGTATGCTATATGGACGAACGTTTGTGGCCACCTGATCATGATACCTACTATATGTAATATTCTGACACCCCTTCAAAATATAGAGTTCAGATGTTTCCAATAACGAGTATGGTTAAGGCCAATACAAAGATATTTTAGACAAGTGACCATTTCCTACCTTGTGCCAACAGTTTTGGGAAAGGCCCTTTTCTGTATCAGCATGACTGTGCTCCATAAATACATGGTTTTGATGAGTTTGGTGTGAACGACTTTGAATTGTCTGACAGAGCTTCGTCCTCATCCCTATTAAACACATTGGCCAGCACTGTAGTGTTCCACAATGCAAATTATATGTTTAGATCTAATTACAAAAACATCTAGCTCCAACTACTGATTCATATTACTTAATTCAACACTCATGGTTGTATTGGAATTAATGGTTCTGTTGAACCTTATGCATCCAAAAACACATTGACAAATTTGTAAAATTTTTGTTTACATTGTACGATCCATTTGCAAATTGTGCAGGCAACAATGGTTGTTTTTTATTTTCCCTAAAGCATTTATTTTCTACTTTTTTTTAGGAAATCATACTAACTAAAGGTGAAGGTGAGGTCAAATTGAACTTGGCTATCGGAAAAGGTGAACAGGCTCTTAAGAGTAGCAACATGGATGGACAGATGGTAATCCAAATGCAGCTGCAGACATTGAAAGATGTATGGGGGACTGTCAACAGTACAGCCACTAGATGTCTCAGGTAGGAACCTCAGTTGTTTTTTTTTTTTTTTTTTTTGCATTGGAAAGTTTTAGCAACTTATCTGTGTACGCAAGAAAAAAATACAGCTTTTTTTCATTACCACAGTATAGTATGAACTGTTGAACAGTATGTAGGGATCATTTACAATGATTGTTTTTATATTTAGTACCAGAATTGCGTTGTTATTTTCTTATATGTTGTAAATGCAGTGTTTTAAAGGCTGTGATCAATCAGTGGAATGAGCACACTGAGAGGAAAAATCAAATGGAGCAGTGGCTTGAGTCTGTGGATCATAAATTGGAACAACCTCTTCAGCCTCAGAATGGGCTGAAGGAGAAATTTGCTGTGCTAGATCACATTCAAGCTGTCTTATCTGATGTAGAAGATCACTCAACAACGCTACATCATCTCATTGAAAAGACCAAGGAATTACACCAGAAAACTGAGGACCCTTCCTTCTCTGACATCGTCCAAAGTGATCTGAAAATGCACTTCAATGACATTATGACTGTTGCCAAAGTAAGATTTTAATCTATTGCTCTAAATGTTCTTTTGTATTTTAACCACTTGCCTACCGGGCACTTTTACCCCTTTCCTGCCCAGGCCAATTTTCAGCTTTCAGCGCTGTCGAACTTTGAATGACATTGCACGGTCATGCAACACCGTACTTAAACAAAATGTTTATGATTTTTTTGAGATAGATAAAGCTTTCTTTTGGTGGTATTTAATCACCACTGGGTTTTTTATTTTTTGCTAAACAAACTAAAAAAGACTGAAAATTTTGAAAGAAAAAGTTTTTTTCTTAGTTTCTGTTATAAAATTTTGTAAATAAGTAATTTTTCTCCTTCACTGATATGCGCTAATGAGGCTGCAGTAATGGGGACTGTTAGGCTGCACTGATGGACACTGATAGGCAGCACTGAGGAGGCTCTGATGGGCATTGACAGGCACCACTTGCGGGTATTGACAAGAATCACTGATGGGCACTAACAGGCAGCACTGACTGGAACAGTTAGGTGGCACTGATTGGAACTGTTAGGCGGCACTGACGGGCACTGATAGGCGGTGCTGATGGGCACTGATAGGCAGCACTGATGGGCAGTGATAGACGGCACTAACTGGCACTGATAGTCGACACTGAATGGCACTGCTAGGCGGCACTGACTGGCACTGATAGTTGGCACTGAAAGGCAGCTCTGATGGGCATTGATATGTGGCATTTACGTGTACTGGTTGGCACTGATATGAGACATTGATGTGCACTGATGGGCACTGACAGGTGGCACTGATGGGGCTACACTGATCATCAGGGCTCTGATCATCAGTGCCCTGATGATCCGTGTAGATGTCCCCTCTGAGGAATGTCGATTACCGGCTCTCTTCTCCTCTAATCACACGCTGTCAGTGTGAGGAGAGGACTGCTGATATCCGGCATTTCCTTGTTTACATGCGATCAGCTGTGATTGGACACAGCTGATCACATGACAGAGCTGACGTCATCGGCTCTTTACTCTGATCGGTGATCCGCTGTGTCCCAGGGACACAGTGCACCACTGATTGACGTCCACCCAGAACGAGAGAATCGCCGCCCCCCTCGTCATTTCCTCATATGGCGGGCGGGAGGCGTTTAAAGAAAAAAAATGTGGGTAAGACCTGACCTGCAATTTTTGGTGCTGTGGACAGTGGATGTCTTTAATTGTAATTCAGTAATGGTGCAAAGTGAAAATGTTGCATGCAGCATTTTGACCCTAAATGGATTGGAATTTAATTTTAATTTTAAATGTTTAAGTTTAGGTAAAGTGCAGTGGTGGGAATGAGCTATATTATTTAGGACTAGTATATTTGTATTTTTGCTTAGCAGTGGTGACGCAAGTGTTGGGATCCAGTGCAAATTCTTTTAATTACAAATTGAGGGGCTTGTATTTCCTCACGCCTTACCCACTAGATTCTAGAACATGATCTTTATTTGTAATCATTAAAAGCCTTTTTTGATTTATTGTTAACCAATAATGATGACTGTGCAAAAATTGGATCTGAGTGCTAAGAATTCTTTGTTTATTGCAAAAAAATGTTTCTTACTGTACCCAAGCCTATATTTAAATCTTAGCTATCTCTCATATATTACAGATTCTGTCTTACATTTGCATAACTTATATCTGTAAAATCACTGGTATCTCTTCTTATTTAAGTATTCTCACTCTATTGCACAAGCCCATCATCACTAATAGAAATGCATAGCTCCACCCAAAATCAGTATAAGTGTGTTCCCAACATGATTTTCACCACAGTGTTGGCTTTAACAGAAGAGAAATTACATAAAGGTGTGCTGATTTTTGTAGTTTAACAGCTAAAAACATGTTTGCAATTCATGCAAATAACACAAAATTAAGGATTTCCGCCAGGACCTGAGATCTGCAGACCTGGGCTACCTACTGCCCCAAACTTTACAACCTCAACTCCTATTACTTTCCCTGCATCAAACATGCCTATTGCATTACCTGTTGTAGGAAAAGCAGTTAAGCTGCACACGTCTTCAAGATGATAGACAGGACATTTGGATATAGATAGATAGGGACTGTGGGCACCTCAGGAGTCAGGATGAACTCACAAGCACGGCCTGTGCAAACCTTGGTCCTGGGACCCGATTATTATCACTGGAGCCTGTAGACCCACAACCGTTGGCGCCCAAGACAACATGACTTATCTATGATCATTTTTTACAGAACCTTTCTGTATTACTGGTTATAATCTGGCTTAGTATGTTATAAAGATATATAAATAAGATAAATGAGATGAATTTATTTCTACTCATGATAGAAAAAATGGTGTCGGCATTAATTATACAGGGAACAAGCTTCAACTTTGCCTCTAAATCCTATAGGTACAGGCATACTGTGCGTAATGGTACTGTATATCTGCCCATACATATTTATACATCAGGGCTGTCTACTCTGAATTTTGGATAGAGTTTTGTTTAATATATCGTACAGAGCTTCATGCTACATAAAAATTAATGCTTTGGCTTTGAAAAGTTAAAAAAACATAGGGATTGCCTAGTATGCAGTGTGGTAAATCTAAACAGGCATTAACTAATAAACATTGAATTTTGTGTTTAGGAAAAAATGAGGAACATTGAGGACATAGTGAAGGATCATTTGCTTTACCTGGATGCAGTACATGAATTCACAGATTGGCTGCACTCAGCAAAAGAAGAACTTCACCGTTGGTCTGATGCCTCAGGAGATTCTTTTGCCATCCAAAAGAAAGTCACAAAAGTTAAGGTGGGTTTCTGGGGAAAAAACATTTGTAAGGGGGAAGTGAATTTCAGTCTTGACTGCTATAGAAAGAACTAATGCTAAAACTGACATAATAGTCCGGGCATGAACGAATTGCAAATTACACTGGCTATTAGGGCCATGGATAAGGGTGTACCACCAGTCCTCTTGTACGGGGCCCAGGCCAGCAGGGGGGCCCAGGCAGCTAAGTGAATCAGACGTGGGCAGGAAGGGTGATCGGCACATCGGGAGGGGCAATTACAGGAACCGATCCCCTGTATGGCTCTCCCTGCAGCTACTTAAAGCTGTCTTCTGCTGCTTGCTTTCAGCTGCTGCAGAAAAAGCCATACAGGAGCTCTGTTCCAGTAATTGCTCCCTCACTACACCCATCACCCTACCTGTGTGCCCCCTCCCCGCAGTACTGCTGACTTCCCTCCCCTCCATCCTACCAGCAGCTGCAAGCACATAATATGATTCCTAGGGTGTGGTAAATATGTCACATTTACCAGCCCCTCCTTTCCTTAACGAACACAGTGACTTATTGGTACCGATCACTCACTGTGTTCAATTATAAATAAAGCATAGTAAACTGTTTTTCTTGGGGTAGGGGGCCCTGTCAAGTTGGCTGTATGGGGCCCAGTGGTTTCTAACAGCAGCTCTGCTGGCTATAGTATTATATACAACACAGAAAAACTACAGTTTTAAATACTGAAACATACCTGCTGTGTTTTATCGTTTATATCCTTTATACATATTTGTATGGTTCTACACAATGGCCATGAAATGCCAGCTGCTGTGTTTGAAACTGAGTAAAATATAATGGAGAGCAATAGGAACATCCATTTTCCATTAATTTTGGATACAGTAGGGATGGGTTAGGACTCTCAAATGTCTTGTTGGGGTGATTTCCCTTCACTTACTGTTCCAATAGGCACAATAGAAAGTAAGAGGAGATCTTCTCATAGCAAGGGGATCTTAAACATTTGCTACCAGATGAGGTTTACCCATTGGAAGATTTTCCCTCGCCTCCTGTCCCTGTGTTTAGCCACGCAGTACACAGCCAGCAGAAACAATCAGTCAGGTGTTCTAGCTATTCCACATTTCAAGGTTTTGGCTTTAGATATTTTAAGACTTGAATATATTAATATTTCAAGTATAACTTAAGCCCAAACTTTTTTTAAAATTTTAGACAGAGCGGGGAGGATTTAGAGCGCCTGTCAGGTTTTAATTGCTGTCTATGCCTCTGTTAGGAATATTCACCCTCTCTATTTCCCATGTTTATGGTTATTACAGAAAGTGAAAGTGAAAGAAAATCCCACGTTTTAAGTTGTCCCTAGTAACAGTAATAGAAGGGATATCTTCCAATGGGGACACTAGGTCTGGTGGCAACCAGGGATTTCCTCTCTTTGAAGAGATTTCCTCTTGCTTTCCTGTTTTGGCTATGAGACAGGAATTGAGGGGAAATCTCTCCAATGGGACGCAGATGGCCAAAAAAAAAAAAAAATCTGACAGGGGCATAATCCTCCATTACTCTATTCAAAATGAAAAAGAGTTTTGCCGTTAGTTCTACTGTAATTAACAGAATGTAAATCAAAGAGAACATCCTGGTGTCATGAACGCGGGATCGCTGCCACCAATATGCGACGATCCCACGATCGCTGTCACCAATCTGTGACGACGGCGGCGTCAGACCCCAATCTTCTTACCAAACTCGTGACCGAAGGACTAGCCAATCTAAAACCACACTGTCACGTGTGTAATAATGCCACACCCAGCTGCACCCTGCACAACTGTTTTCCAGCTAATTGGACCACAATCGATGCACCGGCAGCCTGAATGCGATTGTTACTGGGTCAGGTTAATCACACAATTAACCCTTCACACTGCCACCACCTCCTTTTTGTACAGAGAAAGAGGAAACTCGGCGATATCAGCTATAACACTATAATGGTTGAGATAATCGTCTGTATAAAATGGTCACTGCAGGCCGGGTATACAGAGGGTTGAACAAACACAGTAGCGTCTCTTTTAGAGGCAGGAATTCGTAAATTGCAATAAAGCACTATAGAAACAGTTCAACACTTTCAGAAGGAAAGATTTATTACTAAAAGGTCAAACAGGTGCAATAAAAATATTTACAGAAAAAGATGTAACTAAGATATATATATAAATATACAGAGGCCAACAACACAGTAAAGAGATATCAGGGAAAAGTGAAAGGGTTAAGGTACTTGCCAAAGTCCTGGGTTAGCAGATCCAAGTTTCAGAGCAAAAGGGCACGGGTCTCCCCAGGTGGTACTGATGTTAAAATGGGAGACATCTTCAACTTCTTTTTCTCTTAGGCCTGACAGCCCAATTTGTAGTTCCCCAGCAGGGGGTGTCTCTGAAGTCAAGGACCAATACCCCGTTTAGGGTGTGGAGGTCTGGGCGGATACCTCAACTAGCGCCAAAATTTCTCCTAACTCATATTTTGGCCCATAACTTTTCATGAACAAGTGACATTCCACCCGCGGGTAGATTATTATGCAGACACTTCTGAGGATTGATTAGATATGAATTATGAAATTATACACTAAACGGTTCACGAGATCTACTTTTCGGCTTTTCTATGTATTCCTGACCTACCAAAATGTTTGTCTCCTCTTAGCCAATGTGACGATATGTCCGGTTTTTATGTAAGTCTCTCATATTCCAAGATATGGGACATAGGGGAAAAATGGATTTTAACAAAGGTTATCTGGTCGTGTTTCCTGGGAATGTTCTTTGAACTTCTGGGAACGCTTGCCTTATCTTATACGAGGTGTTACATTGCACAGGTTCTTTGGACAGCTAGGCTCCAGCTCCCTTGGGGACTTTATAGCTCCTAGCCCCCTGCTGGGCCCCTGGCCTCCTGTGACACTCCTAACACACGTATACACTGGCCAAATGTCGCTGTGACTCTTAGAGAGGGGAGAGAATGAGGGGGAAATATGTTTGTCAGGATGGTTACCCTTTGCCAAGATGGAGGTTGAAGCCAAAATGGTTGTACTGCGTCCATCTCTGTGTGTACGCTTGTTACACCTGGGTAGAATGGTTTTCAGGTCATCACCTTAAAAATATTACAGCAGACATAACTATATGATATTTTTCCCTTGCAGATTAAAAAAAAATCAAATAGGCTGTTACAGGCAGCTCACATACAGTAGTTTATTTTCACTTTTTAAAATAAGGCACTTTATGTTCAAACCCTAAGTGTAGTACAAAAAGTAATAGCATTTTCCTGTGGCATAGAGTAGTACTTGCCTATGCATTGAATTTGTACTAATATCAGCATATAACACAGCCTTTCTCAACCCTTTTAACTTAGGGGAATCCTTTAAATAATTTTAGGTCAAAATGCCAGCTTTACATCGGTAGCCAAGACGTCCACCCTTACAAACAGTTAAAATGTCACTGCTGGCTTGGCTTTGCCGAGATCCCAGAACTATGCAGACACCATCAAATCATCCACAGCTCAAGGAACCCATATCAACCTCTGGACTTTCGCATTTGCTTTTTGCATAATTGTAGAAAGTTACAGGAGGATGGCAATGTAATGTTTACACTTCCAGAGGTGTCAGTCTGTTGGAAATGTATGCGCAAACCTGACAGTTTAAAAGTATGCAAATATAGACATTTAGTAAGGTGATGTGTGTGGTTTTTACTAATGACACTAATAGACAGTTTCTCATTATCTTGGCATCCATCTCTAGTGAGCTTTTTTTCCCTCAAACACACTGTTCAGTTACAAATTTAGCCCAGAACAACCAGTTTTCTGCAGGTATTTGCTTTCTAAACTGTAACAGAAAATTTACAGCTGGATTGTAATTGGTTGACATGGGTAACGTCTAACCCATTTTTTTTTTTACATATATTCATACAAGAACACATTAGTGTCTCACTTGGATATTTGTACTTAGGAATTAAATGTAGATTTAATTTGACTAACTTTGTAAATTGCAAAAAAAGCATTAACATTTTGCATGAATGTTTTTGCTATATTCTTGCTGGTGCTAACTCTATTTTATTATTATTTATCAAATAAGAGATTTTATCAATTATACTGAGAAAAAGTGTTTATTTTGTGTGTGTTACTAGCATTCCGTATTCACTTTCAACAACTGAAACATCAGTGTTTGGAATTAATTAGCAGCTGCATAGCATGTGAGCCGTCTCATTTCCCGGGACGGACTGCTGGTACGGTTTCCTGCACAACTTTGTAAACTTTGTCAGGCTTTCCTCCTATTCTAGGGCCGCAAACAACTTTGGTTGCTATAACAACAACTTTTTCCATTGCAGGAGTTGATGGATTCCAGACAGACTGGAGCTGAACGCCTAAGCAAAGTTGAAACTCTGGCTCCTGCAGTGAAGAAGAACACCACATCTAGTGGATGTGAACAGATAGACGCAGAGATCCAGGGCCTGCAAACAGACTGGAAGCAGTGGGAGGAGAGTGTCAGTCAAAGTAAAAACACTTTGGAAACGCTTTTAAATCAAATGGCCATCTCGGAACAGGAATTCACATCCCAGGTCTCGAAACTGGAAGATGCAGTCCAAGACTTCAGTGTCTTTCTGGAAAAGTGGGCTCAGAAGCTGATGCAAGGGGAAGGCAAGAATACGGACAGAGAAATAGTGGAACACTGGCACAGACAGAAGGTGAGACTTTACATCATTTTGGGCTGTATGAGTGCGTCATGTATAGAGGAAAATATACTCTGAGCCCTAAGCAGTTAAAGTCTGCTAAATCAATTTGTTTCACGCTACAAAGGGCTGTATTTGCAGAGCAGACCATGAACTGCATCATTCCTATATTCACTGACACAAGCACTTTCATCCCACATTCTGACAAACTCTTAATCAGCCTTGATGTCTCATCCCCCGCTCATCTTTACTACAGAGCAAAAGCATGTCTTACAAGGCCTTACTGTAGAAGGCAGGCAGGGTGGCATAGAAGAACAGTTTTTTCATTAAACCCAATTCCAGAAAAAGTAAAAAAGCTCCCTTGATGTGGGGATGCCCCCGTACTGCAAGAGTTATCTGATTTTTTATGTCTAGGGGACAGGAAAAGCAGTCTTACTTACCGGATATTTAGCTACTCCTCTGGCAAACTGTCCTCCCTTATACTGCAACAGTGGACTGTCCTTTGGGCTCCTCATATACAATGCAGGGCTATTGACCCTGCATCAGTCTTGATGATGTCAGAGAGCAACTGACCACCAGAGCATAGGGGAGCAGGGATCACACTTGCAGCGTGAAGGTATCTGCAGGAGTGAGCGATCACATACATGTAAAAGTGCTTTTATTTTGTCCCTAGACTTAAATGGCCACTTAATCCTTGCAACCCAGAGCATATGGCAGCCCCATAGCAAGGGAGTATTGTAACTTTCCCTGGAGTTCAGTTTCAAATGCACCTCTTTACATAACACAGGCTTTCTGTGCAAGACAGTTATAAGGTACCTAGATAACCTAGTGCATGTTTGCTGCAAAATAGGAAGGACATGTTGATTATTCTGCACAGATATTGGGATAGGTTTACTAAAGGCAAATAGGCTGTTCACTTTGCAGGGGAATTTTCTCTTAGTTTAATTAATGTTTTAAAAATGTACTTTGCAAAAAATTCCCAATCATGTACAAGAAAAATTTAAAAAAAAAAATTATTTTTGCTTGCACGTGATTAAATAATGAATGTCAGCAGAACTCCACCTTATTCACTTGGTGAAAATTCCCTTGCAAAGCTAACAGTTTATTTGCCTTAGTAAATCAACCCCATTGCTTAGAAAAACCTAGTCAGTAATAGAAAATTCCTGGAAATTATTTTATCATGTTGTCATTGTCACTGAAGTTGTGCCACTTACCCAGGTTGCCAGGAAACCACATGTGGAATATTGTGCCTGGTATCACAAAGTCCACCAGCAAGACAAAATTCCTGAAGTCCCCCATATTGTTTCTAATCTGTCAACGGAACTACCCCATATTAAAGGAAGTGAGAACCTTTTCCATTCTGACTCAAAATTACCTCCCAAGTGGATCCAGTCATATTTTCCTGGGTAGTTCAGATGGCTCTGTTGGCCTGAATGCAACAGCACAAACTAAGCACATCACCTTTCAACCAAACATGCCTGTAATGATGTAATTTTATATGTTAAAGGGAATCTGAAATATTGTTAAAATCCATATGGACTGCACTGAGATTCTACTGTAGTAACTTGAAACTGTTATAGAATGATGTGAAAAACAAACCAATGCAAACAGGCATACTGCACACTTTTATTTTTCCTAAATTTACTCAACCAGTAATCAAAACTGCCTACATGTCTATGTTGATAGTTTTGCTGATTCAGTCATCCCTGTTAATATATAACAATGCAATATATGAAGTAAGCCGTATTGTCTGTGAAATATGATATATATACAAGATACAAAGTCAGATTATTCTCATCAAATAAAGTTCAAATTATGATCCACCCAAATCTGCCATGCCGTGACCTCAGTTTACATTGAACCCAGAGTAGCTTTCAAACTGTGGAACCCTGGGAAATATATACAGTCTTTCATTCACATGTACAAACACTGCTTCTGCAGGAGGGAAGGCTTTGTGTTGCTAGGAACTTGGCTTTATGCTACAGTGATTAAAAACATATGAAGAGAGTTGGGAGGCGAGCTAGAGTACAGAGAACACATTGACATTCTTTAAAGTAATTTATGTACAAAGACAGTGGAGTCTCACGTTGACAGTCATTTTGAGCTTGTCAATTTTAATGTAAGTTTGAATAGCTTATTGCGTTCAGGGTAATTTGAAAATAAATTAATTGAATATTCAAGCATTCACATCTAGTGCACTGCGGTTATACGTGCTTGCTGTGCCCATCATAACTGCACTACATTGTGATGTGTATATACTTTGCAATTCATTTTGAATATCACTCCTAGCATATAGGCCCCTGTGCATTTTAATGGAATATGTCATGTTGCATTGCATTGCATATATATATATATATATATATATATTATATATATATATATATATATAAAGACTAACCTAAGCAACTGGAGGCTATTTAAGTGCAAAGACCACAAGGGCTGTGGAACATATTATAGAGAAACTTCTGTATGAGATGATTGTCATAATCCTGACATATAACTTTTGGCTTAGATCTTAATAGGCCTACACAAAGTGGCCCTAATGGCATTTTTTTTCTTTCAATAAAATCACCAATGTCAGCCATAGATGGATCAAATCTCAGCCGGTTCAGCAGGGACCGCCCGGAATTTGATCCATTTATGGGCAGGCTGGTTGTACTGAAGTTGATCTATAGTTCGGCTTCAGTACAACAAGCCTGGCAGATATTTTGCATGTGATTATTGTTGCCGGCTATAGCCGCTAGCCATAATCATTGTGTTCTTCCAGTAAGAAAGTCTCCCCTGCAGCAGAGCACAATAGCTGTAACGGACCGCCTGACAGTACCTCTATCCGTCCCCTGATAGAGCCTCCCCAGAGTGCGGAGTTTAAGTACCGGAGCACTTGTTCACCAGGGCCCCTGATGGTGGGGATGGACTTGGAGCGCTCCGGAACCAGGTCGCAGCTGCTAGGTATCTCTACCAGAGGTAGAGGAGTCTGCCAAGGGCTCCAGCAGGTTAAGAGTCTGATGTGAGGGAGCCCAGGGATCCCTGAGGGATGGATGGACGGATGAGCAAAGTCAGAGTCAAACAAGCTGGGTCGGTAACTAGCGGGTCGGTGATGTACAAGACGATAGGCAAAGAATAGTCGGGTCACACGCAGGGTCAATACCAAAAGATCAGATCTATAAGGGAACATCCAGGAGCAGAGTCAGGCAAGCCAAGGGGTCAGGACAGGAGAAGGCAACAAGGTCAGACAATCCAGATCAGAGTACTCACTACACAGGCAACAGGATACAAAAGACCATTCGTCAACAATCATCTGTGCAGGGCTGGCTTAAGTAGCCGCCTTACAACCTGACAGGTGCCGCCTAGGTCCCAGTGCCTGCCTAGTACTGTCAAGACGACGGGTGCGCCTGGGTCCTAGTGCCCTGCTACCTGCACGTCTTGACAGACGCCTACGCATGTGTAGACCCATGCGTCGCGATGGTCCCTGACAATAGCACTGCAGGAGGTATTCCCCCATCAACACTGACTATGTTCAAGCAATTGTCTTTCCTGAAACCTGTGGCTTGCCTAAGGGCTCATAGAGAATTAGAGGATACATAGGAGTTCCTAATGTGCCTATGAGACCACATTCCTCCCAGCTAATAGATCCTCTTCATGTGTTGCAATATTTGAGGAACCATTAATATGAATTGGGTCAACAGAGTCAAAGATATCAGATGCTGCAGGAAGCATTCATGTGTTGTAGTCAGTAACACGATGAAAGCAAAAACAGAACTCCAGTTTTGGCTTAAATAGAAAAGTATAGGGACCTCTTTCAGGTTTATTATTGTCTGTCCTTCCCACTGAAGAGATTCACTCCTACTGTTTTGCCAGGACAGAAAGTGTGGGACGCCTAATACAGTAATCAACAGAACAAAAGTACAGAGGAAATCTCTAATAGAAACACCTGTCACTTTGGAAAGATTAATTCCCACTTCTGTTTGTCTTCAAGACAAGAAATAAGGATCTCCCCAATGAGGACACAGACAACAATAAAGGCCTACAAAAGGCTGACTCTTCTGCATTCTATTCAAAACAAGAGAACAAAATTGTTCCCTTTTGGCACCTGTGCATATGGATCATAGGTCTGGAAATACTAGGGAGATAAAAAATGAGATAAGACCTAGTTTATAAAAAAACCAAGCAAGTTGTTTTCATGTGTGTTTTCAGCTTGTATTATATTTATTTTTAGGATGCTCTCAACGCCCTCACTGAAGCTGAACATATAACAGAAGACTTGAAAACTCAACTTAATGACCTCTGCAGATTTACAAAAGACTTAAGTGTCTATTCTTCCAAAGTGTCTGCTCTCATTAAAGAATATAACAGGTATATTTCTTCTAGATTGTGCATAATACCCACAAGAAACTACCAGAGACTAAACTTTGAGACGAGCTATGAAAAAAAGCTACTTACATAATTTAAGATGTTTCGCTTTTCCTAACCAAAGTTTATAAGAGTTAGAACCTCTGTCACATGTTTTATGTTGTCTGTGTCTTAGGAAGGGATAATTGCCATCTCTGTTTTGTTACCAGGACTTATAGTTAGAAAAAAATTAAAAAATTTGAGTTGTCACTGTTAAAAAATACAGTCTTCTCTTGATTGTTGACTTTGGCACACATACACCTACCTCCTGGAGAGTGTTCTTGATCTGGCCAACTGTTGTGAAGGGTGTTTTCTTCACCAGGGAAAGAATTCTTCGGACATCCACCACAGTTGTTTTCCGTGGTCTTCCGGGTCCTTTGGTGTTGCTGAGCTCACCGGTGCGTTCCTTCTTTTTAAGACAGCCTAATGATGGCTTGCTTCACTGATAGTGACAGCTCTTTGGATCTCATCTTGAGAGTTGACAGCAACAGATTCCAAATGCAAATAGCACACTTGAAATGAACTCTGGACCTTTTATCTGCTCATTGTAATTAGGATAATGAGGGAATAACACACACCTGGCCATGGAACAGCTGAGAAGCCAACTGTCCCATTACTTTTGGTCCCTTAACAAGTGGGAGGCACATATGCAAACTGTTGTAATTCCTACACCGTTCGCCTGATTTGGATGTAAATACCCTCAAATTAAAGCTGACAGTCTGCAGTTAAAGCACATCTTGTTTGTTTCATTTCCAATCCATTGTGGTGGTGTATAGAGCCAAAAATGTTGGAATTGTGTCCATGTCCCAATATTTATGGACCTGACTGTATGTCCATAGAATAGAGGAAAAATATGCCAATGAAAACACTTGTTGCACTGACACCTGTCTTAGGAGTTGCTTTGGAAATATCCTTTCTCACTTTCTGTTTTGCCTCCAGACAATAAATAAAGGATACAATGGAAACAGACATTAAAACAAAAAAAAAAAACTGGTTTGGGGTTTTAACTATTGCCTACTCTATTTGGATTCATCAAAATATGATAGCACTCAAGGCATTCTAAGGTGGCTTCTCAAGTAATCAAATTTAACGTTAACCACTTTAGCATACCCTAAATGCTATATTAGCTTAATGAATCGGATTAGAAGTTAGCAACATATTAGTTTATCTTACAGTTATATATTTCTTTTGTCTTTTTATCTATAAAGACTTTGCTTGCAAGCCTCAAAGGCCTGCCAAAGTAAGGAGCAAACTTTACAGCAGAGATTCCGCACAGCCTTCCGGGACTTTCAGCAGTGGCTGGTAAATGCAAAAGTGATGACTGCCAAGTGTTTCAATGTTCATGAAAGTATTACTGAAGCATCAGCCAGTCTGGAGAGAATTCAAGTAAGATAATATGTTGTATTATGAGATTGTAGCATATATTAAGGATTACTTTGTACTTATTTTATATTGAATTCAGCGTTCTTCAGCTTTCTGAACAATTTTTTTTTAGGAGTGCCTTTCAGAGAGTGAAAGTGGTCAACAAAAACTACAAATAGTAACATCTAGAGGTGAACTTTTGTGCAGTATTATGCCTGAAGAGAAAATTAAAAATATCCAACAAAAGGTCCATACAGCAAAAAATGATTGGAAAAGCTTCATCTCATCTCTTCATCAGAAAGAATCTGCTTTAGAGGTTGATTTTTATTTTCTATTTCATATAAACTCATATGTACATACTTTATAACTGGCAGCAAGATAACACCATACTTGCTTATGTGAGTAGTAGACAATCCATCCTTTTATGTTGTTTAGTAAATAAACAATAAACTGAAATTCTGATTGTTATCATATACTCATATGACATAGCTCTGCTTAGGTTAGCTATTTCTGGATTTTGATAGGACAGTCCTGATATTCATATCACAAAAAGGTAAGGCTTGTTGAAAAATAAGCATGATATTTTTAAAGTATGGGCATGTTTGGGAAAATCTGAACAGGACTTGAAAAGATCACATATGAGATGACACTTTTGTGTTCATTGCCATCCTGATATTGGTTACCTAAGTCTTTTGGTAGGTTTATAGTTAAAACCCCATACAGTATTAAGCAAAGGTCTCAGTGATAGTAAACATCTTGTTTTCATATTAAAAGGCAGCTTAATGTTATGCATCTAAATGTTGCCTTAAGCAGTGATTAAGTAATAGTAGACCCAGTAACACATGATTTGTACAGGACAGGCAGATCTATCAGCAGTCATCTTTCTGACGGCTCCAATGCAGTTTTCCATTGTATACCATTATGCAGTGTTAATGAATGCCCATTCTCTGTATTAAAGAGTGGCAGTTAGAGGGTGGCAGAAAGTGTTCTGAAAGTGGAACTTCACTCTTTCAATCAACATTGACTATTTTTAATCCTTTTTTTGGTTTGAATATTTAAAATTAATTAAATAGCATTTTTGCTTTGTGGTGCTCAAGTGCAGTATAGTTCTACTTTAAGTAACCCCTCTCAGTGTGTACTGCCATTCAATGGTGGGAACAGAGTCTCATACTATTATGAAAGTGCAAGCAAGGTTAGTAGGATTTACTTTTGGACTTGCAGTTTATATGCATTTTACTGCAAATATAAGCACATAAAACTGCACAGGAATGAATAGCATACTATACAAGCATACAATATTATTTTATTAGTATTTATCCCAAATACCTTATATCCCTTTTATGCTGTTTATTTACTGTTACAACATAGTCCTTTAACTATACTGATATTACTCCACTGACTATGTCAATTTTTTTTTTTACACTTTTTTTTTTTAACCTTTTCGTTTTCCAGAATTCATTGATTCAGTGTGCATTAATGTACATTCAATTTGTATTCTGTATAATTCTTTTGAATTTATTGTAGAATCTAAAAGTACAAATGAGAGACTTTGAATCAAGTGCTCAGCCAGTTCAGGAGTGGCTCAGCAATACTGATCGAATAGTTCAAGACAGTAATAATCGCCTGCATGATCTGCCCTCTAAAAGAAAGGAACAGCAGAAGCTGCAGGTAACTTCTGATCATCCTGCATGTGTCCATTGCCTCCCTATGCTCTAACATTTAGGAATTTATACCAACATTTACACCAAATTATTTCTTTCAGTCATAAGCTTACCTGGCAATAATCTAACATACTGTTCTCAGCTTAAAGGCCAGTTTCACCCAAAACCGATTAGTACCTGTAGCATGACTCACCTGCTGGCTGATTTTAGCTGTTTCAAACTCCAGTTGTGAAATTTTCCAATGTATCCCCTCTTTGTTACCCACAATGCCATCATGATGGTGGTGTAGTTGGGCTTCTCCTTTATTTGTGTATTTTACTTTATGGAGAATTCAGCAGGAGCAGTGACACCACCATTTGGCTTGGCATTGGTTTATTTGGGTAGCTTTTAACATTTGTGAGAGGTATTTCATCACTGGAGTTCCCAAGAGATATAAAAAAACCAACATGTGATTCAGTTTGCTTTCTGAAATGTGCATTGTGGGTAGAGATGGCCTATTGTCTAACATGTTGCATCCAGCTTCTACTAATGTCTGTATGCCATTGTCTTCTGCTCTCTTTGAAATGTGCTTGTGCTCTCTAGTCTATCCTGGAAGAAATAGCTTGTCATGAGCCACAGATCACCAGACTAAAAGAAAAAGCTCAGCAGTTGAGGGAAGGACAGTCTGCCAGCAAAACCTGTGCGCACAGGGTGTCTCAGCTGTCTGCTCAATACCTAGCTTTAAACAATCTAACCAAGGTAATTGTTCACCATTTGTGCTTGCTGCTTGTGTCTTTATTGCTATGCCTGATGTTATCTAATGAAGCATGGATTGTTTTAACTGCCTGAACAGTAACCTGTACCGCTAATTTGATAGACCTTAAAAAACATTGTAGCAGACATAAATTTAAGAGAATGAGGGTAGGGTGGTTTCGCATTATGCAGTTGCAAGGACGTTTCTGAAGATTTTATTCAAAGATGTAAAGGTAAGTCTGGTCTTTTACTCCCCAATCCAGTCTTTTGTGTAAAAGGAGGTTAAGCTCAGAGACTGTAAACATAGTTGCAGGGCATAGGGATGAGAGGATAGTATTGCAGTAGTTATTGAGTCACTGCCATAAAGATAAAAGTTGCCATACAATTGTAAATGCTTCCCCAAGGCAGTGAGGTCAGTACAGGAACAAATGAATGGTGATTACAGCGCACATAGATGCAACCCCCTACGTGTATCTGACACCTCTCTGGGAGCTCGTATGTAATGGAATAATCTAGCGCAATACATTTTTCTAATGTTGGGTTTTAGATAATACTGGAAACACATCTAAAGTGCTTACTGAGTTCTCTTTTTAAAGTGTACTATGCACTGACCTTACATCCAATACCAGATACTGGTGTATTGGCAGGAAGAAAATGAAGAGAGAGATGATGGAAGAAAGTCTTAGGAGACATCTCATCTGGTTTCTAATGTGTTTCCCTTTTTACATTGTGTGTGCAACAGCTTCTTTTTATCCATTCAAATTCTGAGAACAACCTTAGTTGTTACTTCGCAAAATAAACTCCATAGGTTTTTATACCCTAATGATCTTCACAGTTTTTTACCCAAATGATCTCCAGTTTTTGTACCCAAATGATCTCCAAAGTTTTTGTACAAAACCTGTGAAGATCATTTCCAAAGTTAACTAACATTGGTTTTTCTTGGAATCTGACTTGATAAAAAGAGTCTGCTACACACACATCTAAAGAAGGGTTAAACAAATTTTAGAAACCAGAAGAGAACAGTCGATTTTCTATCTTTATGTGTAGAGATGAGCGAATCGAAGTAGCCGAAGTGGAATTCGAGTCGAATATCGGAAAAATTTCGATTCCGAATCCGAAAAATAGCCTAATTCGGACGCGCGAATCGAAATTTTTCCGAAAATGGCGGCTGACATGTGCGGCGACGGAGCGGGGATGTCTGGGAAGGCGCGCAGACAAGGCGCGCTGACCCATAATGCATTCCTCAACGACATGTGATCGCATCAGCCAATCAGCAGCCAGCCAGCTAGCACTGTGTAATGGTCGAGCTATAAATAGCGGCCATTTTGGAATTCTTCATTTGCCTGCAGTCATTGAACAGAGGCAGACCGCTCTGTATTAGGGACAGGGACAGAGTTAGGGCCACAGAAACGATACTTGGGGACAGAGAAACAATACTTAGGGACAGAGAACTATTACTCAGGGACACAGAATTGTTAATTAGGGCCACAGAATCGTTACTTAGGGACAAAGAAACGCTAGTTAGGGCCACAGAATTCATACTCAGGGACAGACAGAATTGTTACTGAGTGCCAGAGAATTGTTATTTAGGGCCACAGAAACGTTATTAGGGCCACAGAATTGTTACTCAGGGACAGACAGAATTGTTACTGAGTGCCAGAGAATTGTTACTTAGGGCCACAGAAACGTTATTAGGGCCACAGAATTGTTACTCAGGGACAGACAGAATTGTTACTGAGTGCCAGAGAATTGTTACTTAGGGCCACAGAAACTTTAGTTAGGGCCACAGAATTGTTACTCAGGGACAGACACAGAATTGTTACTGAGGGCCACAGAACTGTTACTTAGGGCCACAGAATTGTTACTCGCACAGACACAGAATTGTTACTCGCACAGACACAGAATTGTTACTGAGGGCCACAGAACTGTTACTTAGGGCCACAGATTGTTACTCGCACAGACACAGAATTGTTACACAGGGACACAGAACTGTTACTGAGGGCCACAGAACCGTTACTTAGGGCCACAGAATTGTTACTCGCACAGACACAGAATTTGTTACTCGCACAGACACAGAATTGTTACTCGCACAGACACAGAATTGTTACTGAGGGCCACAGAACTGTTAGTTAGGGCCACAGAATTGTTTACTCGCACAGACACAGAATTGTTACTCGCACAGACACAGAATTGTTACTGAGGGCCACAGAACTGTTACTTGGGGCCACAGAAACGTTAATCAGGGACACAGAATTGTTACTGAGGGCCACAGAACTGTTACTTAGGGCCACAGAATTGTTACTCGCACAGACACAGAATTGTTACACAGGGACACAGAACTGTTACTGAGGGCCACAGAACCGTTACTTAGGGCCACAGAATTGTTACTCGCACAGACACAGAATTGTTACTCGCACAGACACAGAATTGTTACTCGCACAGACACAGAATTGTTACTCAGGGACACAGAACTGTTACTGAGGGCCACAGAACTGTTACTTAGGGCCACAGAATTGTTGCTCGCACAGACACAGAATTCTTACTCGCACAGACACAGAATTGTTACTCAGGGACACAGAACTGTTACTTAGGGCCACAGAACTGTTAGTTAGGGCCACAGAATTGTTACTCGCACAGACACAGAATTGTTACTCGCACAGACACAGAATTGTTACTGAGGGCCACAGAACTGTTACTTGGGGCCACAGAAACGTTAATCAGGGACACAGAATTGTTACTGAGGGCCACAGAACTGTTAGGGCCACAGAATTGTTACTCGCACAGACACAGAATTGTTACTCGCACAGACACAGAATTGTTACTGAGGGCCACAGAACTGTTACTTGGGGCCACAGAAACGTTAATCAGGGACACAGAATTGTTACTGAGGGCCACAGAACTGTTACTTAGGGCCACAGAATTGTTACTCGCACAGACACAGAATTGTTACTCGCACAGACACAGAATTGTTACTGAGGGCCACAGAACTGTTACTTAGGGCCACAGAATTGTTACTCGCACAGACACAGAATTGTTACACAGGGACACAGAACTGTTACTGAGGGCCACAGAACCGTTACTTAGGGCCACAGAATTGTTACTCGCACAGACACAGAATTGTTACTCGCACAGACACAGAATTGTTACTCGCACAGACACAGAATTGTTACTCGCACAGACACAGAATTGTTACTCAGGGACACAGAACTGTTACTGAGGGCCACAGAACTGTTACTTAGGGCCACAGAATTGTTGCTCGCACAGACACAGAATTCTTACTCGCACAGACACAGAATTGTTACTCAGGGACACAGAACTGTTACTTAGGGCCACAGAACTGTTAGTTAGGGCCACAGAATTGTTACTCGCACAGACACAGAATTGTTACTCGCACAGACACAGAATTGTTACTGAGGGCCACAGAACTGTTACTTGGGGCCACAGAAACGTTAATCAGGGGGACACAGAATTGTTACTGAGGGCCACAGAACTGTTACTTAGGGCCACAGAATTGTTACTCGCACAGACACAGAATTGTTACTGAGGGCCACAGAACTGTTACTTGGGGCCACAGAAACGTTAATCAGGGACACAGAATTGTTACTGAGGGCCACAGAACTGTTACTTAGGGCCACAGAATTGTTACTCGCACAGACACAGAATTGTTACACAGGGACACAGAACTGTTACTGAGGGCCACAGAACCGTTACTTAGGGCCACAGAATTGTTACTCGCACAGACACAGAATTGTTACTCGCACAGACACAGAATTGTTACTGAGGGCCACAGAACTGTTACTTGGGGCCACAGAAACGTTATCAGGGACACAGAATTGTTACTGAGGGCCACAGAACTGTTACTTAGGGCCACAGAATTGTTACTCGCACAGACACAGAATTGTTACTCAGGACACAGAACTGTTACTGAGGGCCACAGAACTGTTACTTAGGGCCACAGAATTGTTACTCGCACAGACACAGAATTGTTACTCGCACAGACACAGAATTGTTACTGAGGGCCACAGAACTGTTACTTGGGGCCACAGAAACGTTAATCAGGGACACAGAATTGTTACTGAGGGCCACAGAACTGTTACTTAGGGCCACAGAATTGTTACTCGCACAGACACAGAATTGTTACTCGCACAGACACAGAATTGTTACTGAGGGCCACAGAACTGTTACTTGGGGCCACAGAAACGTTAATCAGGGACACAGAATTGTTACTGAGGGCCACAGAACTGTTAGGGCCACAGAATTGTTACTCGCACAGACACAGAATTGTTACTCGCACAGACACAGAATTGTTACTGAGGGCCACAGAACTGTTACTTGGGGCCACAGAAACGAATTTAATCAGGGACACAGAATTGTTACTGAGGGCCACAGAACTGTTAGGGCCACAGAATTGTTACTCGCACAGACACAGAATTGTTACTCGCACAGACACAGAATTGTTACTGAGGGCCACAGAACTGTTACTTGGGGCCACAGAAACGTTAATCAGGGACACAGAATTGTTACTGAGGGCCACAGAACTGTTACTTAGGGCCACAGAATTGTTACTCGCACAGACACAGAATTGTTACACAGGGACACAGAACTGTTACTGAGGGCCACAGAACTGTTACTTAGGGCCACAGAATTGTTACTCGCACAGACACAGAATTGTTACTGAGGGCCACAGAATTGTTACTGAGGGCCACAGAACTGTTACTTGGGGCCACAGAAACATTAATCAGGGACACAGAATTGTTACTGAGGGCCACAGAATTGTTACTCGCACAGACACAGAATTGTTACTCGCACAGACACAGAATTGTTACTGAGGGCCACAGAACTGTTACTTGGGGCCACAGAAACGTTAATCAGGGACACATAATTGTTACTGAGGGCCACAGAACTGTTACTTAGGGCCACAGAATTGTTACTCGCACAGACACAGAATTGTTACTCAGGGACACAGAATTGTTACTCAGGGACACATAATCGTTTTAATTAAAGAGTATGTCAGACAACATGCAGAGGAGTGGCAGAGGAGGCAATGTTTTAGGAGCGAGCAGACGTGGCAGCAGAGGAAGGGGTCGAGGCAGCACTATTCGCAGCCAGAGGCCAGTGCTCCCGGTGTCATCCAGCGGTCGTGTCTCCACCGACAACCCTGCTGTCATCGATTGGTTGGCTCGGTCGTCTTCCTCTTCCCAGGTCACCTCTGACACCTACAGCCAACGGTCGGTGGGTACGTCAGACACAACCGTTAGTTGGCATGGCCCGGGAGCAAGCCCACTGAAATCACGTGTCCTCTACCTGCCCCTGTCCTTTGGTGTTCCCTCACCAAGCGAAGTATCGCATGCTGTGGGCTCAGCCCCACTGTACAGTGAGGAAGAGCTAACAGAGGGCGGTCAGGAACGGGGGGAGACATCCGCCTTTTCAGCAGCCAGGCGAAGAAGAAGTAGTGGCGAGGAGAGTGGCCGGTAGCCGGTCTAGAGACAGGTCTGTCTCCTGACCCAGACGCAGCCGAGGGGGCTAGTAGTGAGGCGGAGACCCTACTTGATGATGAGGAGGTTGATCGCACTTGGCAGCCTCGTCGTCATCAGGCAATTTCTTCCGCATCATCAGGAGAAGAGGGTGGCAGCTTGGCAGTGAGCGAAACAGTCGGTGGGTTGCCCAGGAGACAGCAGCAGGGTCGCAGCAGTGTCAGTGGAAGCAGTGTCAGTGGAGCCAAACGGCCACGGAGTAGTAGCACCACAGCTCCACTGCAGCCTACCACCACGGCCAGTAGTGGTGCCGGTGTGCACGGAGGAAGCAGCAGTCAGCCAGTGAGGAGTATCGGGGGCAAAGTTTCCTACTCGGCGGTGTGGCAATTTTTCGTCAAAGCCGCCCGAGGAAGTAAACGTAGCCGTATGTCGACTATGTGGCCAGAAAGTCAAGCGTGGCCAGGGGGCCCATGTTGGGACTACAGCGTTGCGGCAGCATATGCAGCGTCGCCATTTGGTGGCCTGGGAAAACCGTGATAAAGATACGGCGGTTCTGCCCGCCCCAGCCCCCGCTCCATCACCCGCTCCGTTACTTGCTCCGTCACCGACGTCAATCGCCCTCCATCAGCCAGTCAAGGCTCCAACACCTCTGCTGAGGGGAGTTGTCGCTCGTTGGCATCTTCCGCTCGTTCAGATGCTCCTTCTCCTGCTACTCCTCTTCACGGATTCCGTCAGCAGTCTTTCTTGGAATCCGTTTCCAAGAGACAACAGTTTGCGAGCACGCCCGACGGTGCAAAAGCTGAACGTCCTCCTGTCCAAGTTGCTGGTGCTGCAGTCCCTCCCTTTCCAAGTGGTGGACTCAGCACCTTTCAGAGAAATGATGGCTTGTGCCGCGCCGCGGTGGAGAGTGCCAAGCCGTCATTTCTTCGCCAAAAAGGCAGTGCCAGCCCTGCATTCACATGTAGAAGACATGGTGGGCCAGTCTTTGAGCATGTCGGTCTCTGCCAAAGTGCACGGCAGCGCCGACGTGTGGAGCTGTAACTACGGTCAGGGACAGTACATGTCATTTACGGACCACTGTGGTGAACGTGGTGCCGTCACAGTCGCACCAGCAACTTGGACAGGTCACGCCGCTTTTGCCTCCACGTTTGCACGTCCTTGGTCCGGCAAAGATGTCCGCCTCTACCTACACTTCTTCTTCCGCCGTGTCCTCAGCCGCCACCCCCGTGCCAAGTCCCATTACCCGACCGGCATATCACATGTGCAGGGCGCAACGGTGTCACGCTGTTCTGCACCTGGTATGCCTTGGCGAACGTAGTCACACAGGGGAGGAACTTCTGAGTGTAATGAACAGAGAAATCGACAGATGGCTGTCTCCGCGCAAACTGAAAATCGGAACCATGTTGACCGACAACGGAAAGAACATGGTGTCTGCTCTGCGTCAAGGAAGGTTGTGCCATGCGCCATGCATGGCTCACGTGTTCAATCTGGTTGTCAAGCGGTTCCTAAAATCCACCATCCCACTGCAAGACATCCTTAAAATGTCACGTAAACTTTGCATGCATTTCAGCCATTCCTACACCGCAAAGCACACCCTCCTTGAGCTGCAGCGGCAGAACGGAATTCCACATCATCGCCTGATCTGCGACGTTGCAACAAGGTGGAATTCAACCCTACACATGTTAGACCGCCTTTACGAGCAGCGAAAGGCCATCACCGATTTCCTGATGTTACAAGCGGATAAAGGTACTCCCCTGTGTAACTTCGATGTCAGCCATTGGCAGCTCATGCGTGACACCTGCCGCTTGCTCAGGCCCTTTGAGGAGGCCACGCTATTCGTGAGTCGGCAGGACTATGGGATGAACGACGTCATTCCTCTGTTGCACGTCCTTGAACAAATGCTGTTAACAATGGCTGGTCAGGGTGCGGTAGACGTGGCGCACAGATCTCAACGCCACATGACCCCTGTGGGGGCAGGACAGGAAGAAGAGGAGGAGGTAGAGGAGGACATTTGTGCTCAGGAATTATTGAGTGAAATGGGTGGTTTTTCCACTCAGCGGACAGGAGTGGAGGAGCAGGAGCATCTGGTAGAGGAGGAGGAGGAGGAGACAGAGGACCCAGACGCACCGTGGCAGTATGCTGTGGAGATGGAGGCAGGGGGAGTCCCTCGCATTCCTTGGCACAAATGGCCCATAGCATGCTCGGTTGCTTGCGTAGCGACAGCCGAATAATAACCATCAGACAGAGGGATGACTTTGGCTGTCCACCTTGTTGGACCCTCGCTACCGTTCAAAAATGGTGGCCTTTTTCACACCTGCTGAGAGGGAGGCCAAAATAACGTACTATAAAAAACCACCTATGTAGTCAGTTGGTCTCTGCCTTTGTGCGCCAACGTCCATCCTCAGACACTGTGGGCCCTGTGCGCTCGCGTTCCGCTGCCATGGCAGCAGGGGAGGGGTGGGGTGGTAGGAGCAGTGGCAGCTCCACCAGCAGCGGCTGCCTCAGTCTGCAGTCGATGATGAGTAGCTTTCTTCACCAGCGCAGTGAGGAAACTACTAACCAGCCGCAGCAGCAGCAGCAGCAGCATCAGGTGGACCTGGAGCAGGACCTCAAACAACAGGCTTGGCCTACTTGGACAGCACCCTGCCAACCGAGGTAGACAATCCCCTTGACTACTGGGTCAACGAAACTTGACCTTTGGCCCCAACTAGCTGAATTTGCCTTGAAAGGCTGTCATGCCGGCCAGTAGCGTGGCATCGGAGCTCGTGTTTAGTGCGGCAGGAGGTATTGTAACTCCGCGGAGGACACGACTGTCCACCCAAAGTGTGGAGAGACTCACGTTTGTGAAAATGAATCAGGCTTGGATTAGTCTGGATTTCAAACCACCAGTTCCTGACACAACTGACTAAATCCGCCATGAATCATGCCTCAAACATGTGCCACTTTGAGGTCTCCTCACACACTGCTGGTGTGTAGAATTTTTTGACATAGGGTGCTGGCAGATTACGGGCCTCCATAGCTGCTGCCAGCCCCTAATCTGCCATAGGCCCCTATATACCGCTCCTCATGCTGCTGCCAGGTCCAGAGTCTCTCATGGGTCCCTGTACGGCCTCCCATTGCTGCTGTCTCCATCGCCACACTCTGCCATGTGCCACTTTCAGGTCTCCTCACACACTGCTGGTGTGTGTAGAATTTTTTGACATAGGGTGCTGGCAGATTACGGGCCTCCCATAGCTGCTGCCAGGCCCCTAATCTGCCATGGGCCCCTATATACCGCCTCCTCATGCTGCTGCCAGGTCCAGAGTCTGTCATGGGTCCCTGTACGGCCTCCCATTGCTGCTGTCTCATCGCCACACTCTGCCATGTGCCACTTTCAGGTCTCCTCACACACTGCTGGTGTGTAGAATTTTTTGACATAGGGTGCTGGCAGATTACGGGCCTCCCATAGCTGCTGCCAGGCCCCTAATCTGCCATAGGCCCCTATATACCGCCTCCTCATGCTGCTGCCAGGTCCAGAGTCTCTCATGGGTCCTGTACGGCCTCCCATTGCTGCTGTCTCCATCGCCACACTCTGCCATGTGCCACTTTCAGGTCTCCTCACACTGCTGTGTGTGTAGAATTTTTTGACATAGGGTGCTGGCAGATTACGGGCCTCCCATAGCTGCTGCCAGGCCCCTAATCTGCCATAGGCCCTATATACCGCTCCTCATGCTGCTGCCAGGTCCAGAGTCTCTCATGGGTCCTGTACGGCCTCCCATTGCTGCTGTCTCCATCGCCACACTCTGCATGTGCCACTTTCAGGTCTCCTCACACTGCTGGTGTGTAGAATTTTTTGACATAGGGTGCTGGCAGATTACGGGCCTCCCATAGCTGCTGCCAGGCCCCTAATCTGCCATGGGCCCCTATATACCGCCTCCTCATGCTGCTGCCAGGTCCAGAGTCTCTCATGGGTCCCTGTACGGCCTCCCATTGCTGCTGTCTCCATCGCCACACTCTGCCATGTGCCACTTTCAGGTCTCCTCACACACTGCTGGTGTGTGAATTTTTTGACATAGGGTGCTGGCAGATTACGGGCCTCCCATAGCTGCTGCCAGGCCCTAATCTGCCATGGGCCCCTATATACCGCCTCCTCATGCTGCTGCCAGGTCCAGAGTCTCTCATGGGTCCCTGTACGGCCTCCCATTGCTGCTGTCTCCATCGCCACACTCTGCCATGTGCCACTTTCAGGTCTCCTCACACTGCTGGTGTGTTAGAAATTTTTTGACATAGGGTGCTGGCAGATTACGGGCCTCCCATAGCTGCTGCCAGGCCCTAATCTGCCATAGGCCCCTATATACCGCCTCCTCATGCTGTGCCAGGTCCAGAGTCTGTCATGGGTCCCTGTACGGCCTCCATTGCTGCTGTCTCCATCGCCACACTCTGCCATGTGCCACTTTCAGGTCTCCTCACACACTGCTGGTGTGTAGAATTTTTTGACATAGGGTGCTGGCAGATTACGGGCCTCCCATAGCTGCTGCCAGGCCCCTAATCTGCCATGGGCCCCTATATACCGCCTCCTCATGCTGCTGCCAGGTCCAGAGTCTCTCATGGGTCCCTGTACGGCCTCCCATTGCTGCTGTCTCCATCGCCACACTCTGCCATGTGCCACTTTCAGGTCTCCTCACACACTGCTGGTGTGTAGAATTTTTTGACATAGGGTGCTGGCAGATTACGGGCCTCCCATAGCTGCTGCCAGGCCCCTAATCTGCCATAGGCCCCTATATACCGCCTCCTCATGCTGCTGCCAGGTCCAGAGTCTGTCTCATGGGTCCCTGTACGGCCTCCCATTGCTGCTGTCTCCATCGCCACACTCTGCCATGTGCCACTTTCAGGTCTCCTCACACACTGTGGTGTGTGTTAGAATTTTTTGACATAGGGTGCTGGCAGATTACGGGCCTCCCATAGTGCTGCAGGCTGCCAGGCCCCTAATCTGCCCAGGGCCCCATGGGTCCCTGTACCCATTGCTGCTCCCTCATGCTGCATGTGCCACTTTCAGGTCCAGACTGCTGGTGTGTCATAGGGTGCTGGCAGATTCCCCTCCCATAGCTGTGCCAGGCCCCATTGCCATGCCCTATACCGCCTCCTCATGCTGCTCGCCAGAGTCTCTCACTCTGCTCCCATGTGCCACTTTGCCAGGTGCCACTTCAGGTCTCCTCACACACTGCTGGTGTGTAGAATTTTTTGACATAGGGTGCTGGCAGATTACGGGCCTCCCATAGCTGCTGCCAGGCCCCTAATCTGCATAGGCCCCTATATACCGCCTCCTCATGCTGCTGCCAGGTCCAGAGTCTCTCATGGGTCCCTGTACGGGCCTCCCATTGCTGCTGTCTCCATCGCCACACTCTGCCATGTGCCACTTTCAGGTCTCCTCACACTGCTGGTGTGTAGAATTTTTTGACATAGGGTGCTGGCAGATTACGGGCCTCCCATAGCTGCTGCCAGGCCCCTAATCTGCCATGGGCCCCTGTATATACCGCCTCCTCATGCTGCTGCCAGGTCCAGAGTCTGTCATGGGTCCCTGTACGGCCTCCCATTGCTGCTGTCTCCATCGCCACACTTGCCATGTGCCACTTTCAGGTCTCTCCTCACACTGTGGTGTGTAGAAATTTTTTGACATAGGGTGCTGGCAGATTAGGGCCTCCCATAGCTGCTGCCAGGCCCCTAATCTGCCATAGGCCCCTATATACCGCCTCCTCATGCTGCTGCCAGGTCCAGAGTCTGTCATGGGTCCCTGTACGGCCTCCCATTGCTGCTGTCTCCATCGCCACACTTGCCATGTGCCACTTTCAGGTCTCCTCACACATGCTGGTGTGTAGAATTTTTTTGACATAGGGTGCTGGCAGATTACGGGCTCTATAGCTGCTGCCAGGCCCCTAATCTGCCATAGGCCCCTATATACCGCTCCTCATGCTGCTGCCAGGTCCAGAGTCTCTCATGGGTCCCTGTACGGCCTCCCATTGCTGCTGTCTCCATCGCCACACTCTGCCATGTGCCACTTTCAGGTCTCCTCACACACTGTGGTGTGTAGAATTTTTTGACATAGGGTGCTGGCAGATTACGGGCCTCCCATAGCTGCTGCCAGGCCCCTAATCTGCCATAGGCCCTATATACCGCCTCCTCATGCTGCTGCCAGGTCCAGAGTCTCTCATGGGTCCCTGTACGGCCTCCCATTGCTGCTGTCTCCATCGCCACACTCTGCCATGTGCCACTTTCAGGTCTCCTCACACACTGCTGGTGTGTTGAATTTTTTGACATAGGGTGCTGGCAGATTACGGGCCTCCCATAGCTGCTGCCAGGCCCCTAATCTGCCATAGGCCCTATATACCGCCTCCTCATGCTGCTGCCAGGTCCAGAGTCTCTCATGGGTCCCTGTACGGCCTCCCATTGCTGCTGTCTCCAGGCCACACTCTGCCATGTGCCACTTTCAGGTCTCCTCACACATGTGGTGTGTAGAATTTTTTTGACATAGGGTGCTGGCAGATTACGGGCCTCCATAGCTGCTGCCAGGCCCCTAATTGCCTGCCATGGGCCCCTATATACCTGCCTCCTCATGCTGCTGCCAGGTCAGAGTCTTCATGGGTCCCTGTACGGCCTCCATGCTGCTGCTGTCTCCATCGCCACACTCTGCCATGTGCCACTTTCAGGTCTCCTCACACACTGCTGGTGTGTGTAGAATTTTTTGACATAGGGTGCTGGCAGATTACGGGCCCATAGTGCTGCTGCCAGGCCCCTAATCTGCCATAGGCCCTATATACCGCCTCCTCATGCTGCTGCCAGGTCCAGAGTCTGTCATGGGTCCTGTACGGCCTCCCATTGCTGCTGTCTCCATCGCCACACTCTGCCATGTGCCACTTTCAGGTCTCCTCACACACTGCTGGTGTGTAGAATTTTTTGACATAGGGTGCTGGCAGATTACGGGCCTCCCATAGCTGCTGCCAGGCCCCTAATCTGCCATGGGCCCCTATATACCGCCTCCTCATGCTGCTGCCAGGTCCAGAGTCTCTCATGGGTGCCCTGTACGGCCTCCCATTGCTGCTGTCTCCATCGCCACACTCTGCCATGTGCCACTTTCAGGTCTCCTCACACACTGTGGTGTGTAGAATTTTTTGACATAGGGTGCTGGCAGATTACGGGCCTCCCATAGCTGCTGCCAGGCCCCTAATCTGCCATGGCCCCTATTATACCGCCTCCTCATGCTGCTGCCAGGTCCAGAGTCTGTCATGGGTCCCTGTACGGCCTCCCATTGCTGCTGTCATCCATCGCCACACTCTGCCATGTGCCACTTTCAGGTCTCCTCACACTGCTGGTGTGTTGAATTTTTTGACATAGGGTGCTGGCAGATTACGGGCCTCCCATAGCTGCTGCCAGGCCCCTAATCTGCCATAGGCCCCTATATACCGCCTCCTCATGCTGCTGCCAGGTCCAGAGTCTCTCATGGGTCCCTGTACGGCCTCCCATTGCTGCTGTCTCCATCGCCACACTCTGCCATGTGCCACTTTCAGGTCTCCTCACACTGCTGGTGTGTTAGAATTTTTTTGACATAGGGTGCTGGCAGATTACGGGCCTCCATAGCTGCTGCCAGGCCCCTAATCTGCCATAGGGCCCCTATATACCGCCTCCTCATGCTGCTGCCAGGTCCAGAGTCTGGTCATGGGTCCCTGTACGGCCTCCCATTGCTGCTGTCTCCATCGCCACACTCTGCCATGTGCCACTTTCAGGTCTCCTCACACTGCTGGTGTGTAGAAATTTTTTGACATAGGGTGCTGGCAGATTATAGGGCCTCCATAGCTGCTGCCAGGCCCCTAATCTGCCATGGGCCCCTATATACCGCCTCCTCATGCTGCTGCCAGGTCCAGAGTCTGTCATGGGTCCCTGTACGGCCTCCCATTGCTGCTGTCTCCATCGCCACACTCTGCCATGTGCCACTTTCAGGTCTCCTCACACACTGCTGGTGTGTAGAATTTTTTGACATAGGGTGCTGGCAGATTACGGGCCTCCCATAGCTGCTGCCAGGCCCCTAATCTGCCATGGGCCCCTATATACCGCCTCCTCATGCTGCTGCCAGGTCCAGAGTCTCTCATGGGTCCCTGTACGGCCTCCCATTGCTGCTGTCTCCATCGCCACACTCTGCCATGTGCCACTTTCAGGTCTCCTCACACTGCTGGTGTGTAGAATTTTTTGACATAGGGTGCTGGCAGATTACGGGCCTCCCATAGCTGCTGCCAGGCCCCTAATCTGCCATGGGCCCCTATATACCGCCTCTCATGCTGCTGCCAGGTCCAGAGTCTCTCATGGGTCCCTGTACGGCCTCCCATTGCTGCTGTCTCCATCGCCACACTCTGCCATGTGCCACTTTTAGGTCTCCTCACACTGCTGGTGTGTAGAATTTTTTGACATAGGGTGCTGGCAGATTACGGGCCTCCCATAGCTGCTGCCAGGCCCCTAATCTGCCATAGGCCCCTATATACGCCTCCTCATGCTGCTGCCAGGTCCAGAGTCTCTCATTTCCTGAATACGGCTCTCCCATGCTGCTGTCCTGTTGCCGGTCCCTTGTACCTGCTGGGTCTGCTGTCTCCATCGCCACACTCTGCCATGTGCCACTTTCAGGTCTCCTCACACACTGCTGGGGTGTGTAGAATTTTTTTGACATAGGGTGCTGGCAGATTACGGGCCTCCCATAGCTGCTGCCAGGCCCCTAATCTGCCATAGGCCCCTATATACCGCTCTCATGCTGCTGCCAGGTCCAGAGTCTCTCATGGGTCCCTGTACGGCCTCCCATTGCTGCTGTCTCCATCGCCACACTCTGCCATGTGCCACTTTCAGGTCTCCTCTCACACTGCTGGTGTGTTCAATTTTTTGACATAGGGTGCTGGCAGATTACGGGCCTCCATATAGCTGCTGCCAGGCCCTAATCTGCCATAGGCCCCTATATACCGCCTCCTCATGCTGCTGCCAGGTCCAGAGTCTCTCATGGGTCCCTGTACGGCCTCCCATTGCTGCTGTCTCCATCGC